TTTTTAATGATCAGTATACGCCCACACCATTCTGTTGTTGGGGTACTCCCGAACCATTCCAAATCTAATCAAATTGTATTTGTTACATGCGCCGAATACAACAGGTGTAGACTTTACCGTGAAATGCTTACTTACGAGCTCTTTCCCAACAATGCAGAGTTCAAAAGTAATAAATAAATCATAAATAATAATAAAATAAAAAATTAGCTAAATAAAAAAAGGAACATAGTAACACAATAAAATAACAATAATGAGGCTATATACAAGGAGTACTGGTACCGAGTCAATGCGCAGGGGTATGAGGTAGTTGAGGTAATTGAGGTAATATGTACATGTTTGTAGGGATAAAAGTGACTAGGCAATCAGGATAGATAATAAACAGAGTAGCAGCAGTGCATGTGAAGAGTGTGAAAGAGTATAAAAAAGTGTCTGTGTTAGTGTGTGTGTGTGGCGTCAATATGCGTGTGTGTGTATGTGCATGTTGGAGCGTCAGTGTAGAATATGTGAGTGTGTGGGTAGAGTCTAGTGAGTGTGATAGACAGTATCAAGAGAGTGCAAGAGAGTCAGTGGAGAAAAAAAACTATACAAAAAACACAGAAAAGCTGCTTTTTAACGTACTTCATTACCATTTTTTGAAAGGAAAACTATTTTACACATATTGTAATTAATTATAGGCCATATTTGATAGAAATCTGGAAACACTGGACAGTTACTTTAAGGCTGAAGCTTGACTTCAGTCCCTTAAGGGTGATATCATCAGAGAGGGGGAAACATGAGGTGAGGTGAACCGTACTCATCACTAGGTGTGTCACTAGCTGCTGAGCATCGATGTGATCAGTTTGCTCAGAGAGAGAGAGGGGGGGGGGGGGGGGGCTGGATGACCTAATACCTGAGAAAAGCCATGAAGTCATAGCCACCTGACTCATATTCCCAGCTGAGACCAGCTTTCCTAATCTCCACAACCCTGTGTGTATGTGTATGTGTGTGTGTGTGTGCGCGCCAGTGCATGCAAGAGAGAAAGTGAGTGAGTGTATGCCTGTCCAGGGAGTTGTTGGGGGGATCATGCCTTTAATAGCGAAAGAGGGTGTTGAATAAACCTTGGTGTGGATATGTTTGTCACACCAATCCTACCACTCTCCTGTTACAAACACATTCACTCACATACAGTAAATAGAGCTTGCCTTGTAGTGAGAGAACACATTAACAGCCTCATTCACAGAGGAGTTTTATGGGGCTATATTTATGGATTGCCGTTCATTTGAGAAAATGCTGCCGTTTCATTGACAAATTCTACCATGTTCAGCGAACAAACACAATCAATTGGATAAAACCAAAGAGACCAATAACACCAGCAATGTCCAGGTTTAAGTGAATAACATGTTGATAAGTGTCACGTTTGTCTTAGTCAAGCTAACTGATTATGGTTTATGTTAAATAATCTGCAATATTAAACTGATCCTCTTACCGAGGATTCTATTGCCGTCTTGTCTGTGCACAGCTGTTGCAGTGCAGGGCATTTTAGGCTATTGTAGGCTTAGAATTAGATATTAGTGCAAGATATGACATGGTGACATCATATGCAGGAGGCGTTACGTCATCCACAAGTGCTGGTTCAGTGTATGACATCAGCATGTGGCACCAGGCCAACATCTCCATTGTGCTCATAGCCTCATTCAGGCGACAGCGGGGCACCCAACATGTCATGAAAGGACATCTGGCCATGAAAGTCAAAGGGATGCCCCTTGGGGGTTTCTTAAAGATGTCTTTACACTCCATTAAGTCCACTTTGAAAGACAGACACTGTCCATAGGTGGATACGGTGTTTGCATGGGTTGTTGGACAAAGAGATTGGTGTCTGTGTCTGTGGCACAGTAAACCAAAGCACCTCCCCACAGATTCAGCTTCCCTTTCAGAGGGTGCAGGAGGGAGACAGGCCTAATCAAACAGCCAGATGGTCAAGATCATTGAGAGTTTTTTATGTGGGCATGTAACATGACCTCAGCACTCTGCGTTTTATCAAGCATCCTGCATACACACGCAGCTGATGAGTTTGTACACTCAAACTACTAGGTAATAATGACGTAAAAATAATGTCTGGATGTAAACCAGGCCTGTTGTGTCTGAACTTTTAGCGGCATACTGAGTGAAACTTGTACTGGGGTGGGGTCAGATCCGGGTCCATAGGTTTAGGTTTAGAGAGAAAAATAATGTAAGGAATACAGTATCATCACAAACAGGCCCATAACCCAGAGCCCAAGACACCCAGACAGACTGGGGTGGGGGGGAAACATTATCCCTGATCTGTCCTCTTTATTGATTGGGCCTTGGGCTCCCTGCAGACCCCATTAATGGAGGCAGATGACCTCTTGGACAACACTGGCTCTGTGTGTCACTAAGAAGCTGTCCCTTCTCCAGCGTCTGCCCCAGAGCCTCTTCCCCCATCCTCACACACTCCCCAGTCCTCAAGCCTCTCCGCTGGGTTAGGGGGATACAGACCCCCCCTCCTCCAGTCCTTTATTCATCCCCAGCAATCAGGCTGTTGGTGCTGTTGTTGTCATAGAGGCCTTGGGGTTAGGTGGACTAATACAGGGTTTTTAATCCTGTATTCCTTTGTACATATTTGTTCCTCTCTCCCCATGGGCCAGCCTTGGGAGAGCCCCCCTTTCTGATAAGCACCCAGGGCAGGTGTCAGAGTCTAGACTCTCTAGACTATGATTATGCACAGGTGCACCTGAACTGACCTTTGTTGTGACAATATCTTTCAACACATGACATAGCCTACTCATCTGTAGTGACTCAGTCAGTGACTCATGTGACCAGAAGAGAAAGTTTGGGAGATTTCAATCAAATGTCTTTGCAAGGGCTTCATTTAACTATTTACTAATTAATTACATGGATTATGGATGAAACATTTACAGTACATTGATGTGAACACTGAAATGTTCACTGATTCATGTGAACTGTCCCTGTTAAATAAATGACATATAACTAAATAAATCATGAATTAAATAATTATTTATTCAGTAATTGTTTCTCAGTTTCATACATCCTCAGATTGTAATGGTTGTAAAAACAATTATGGTGTAAACATCATCGTGGTTATAAGTTAGTGTTTTTGTCGATGTATTAGGCTAAACATTCATTATGAACATGTATTACCGCTGCATTACCACATTAGTAGGTATAGTTATTGTATAGGGATTTGTGCCCATCAAATGAGTGAGAGACTGTCTGATCACCCAGTCTGTCACATCCCAAATGAAGGAGAGTTGTTGTTGTTATCAGTAGTGTAATTCATGACAAGGCCACATACAGTATATAGTGACAAGTGATTAATTGAACTCAGTTAGTGGGGTTCAAGCCCTCAGATAATCTGGTTAAACCAGTCCAGCCAAACCATATCCCCTTTGAGAATACAAAGAGAGCATCAAATCATCTGATGATATTCATAATCGGTTAGGCTAACTATAGTTTTATCAGTGCTGAACATATCACCCATTTGAGGGTGGCTTTGGTGACCAACGTCAACATTTCCACAGTTAGTTCGAGGGACACCAGAAACAGCAAGAAAACATATTTGCTCATGCGAGGTGCACAGTCAGAAGTAATGGAAACGGTCAATTACCGATCAAATGAACCGTTTCATCGTTGGTAAGAGAGCAAGCACAGTGATGCCCCCCACAGTTTGCCACAGCCCTGCCATGCGCACCCACACTGCGCCCGCGCCAGGCACTATAGGCTACAGTAGAGATACTACTGTTCCGCTCCAATTCACTATTGAGAGTTTTTATTGTTCACTTGTGAAATGAGACATTGGAGACCTTTTAACTTAAAACACTGGAGATACATTGTATTATTCAATTGTACTATTATTATTATTATTATTATTATTATTATTAATACTAAGCACATGTGTCTTTGTGTTATTATACAACCATGCCGCCAGTCGTGGCTTCTCTCTAGGACATTTCGGTATGTAGATTTCGCGAGGCAAACGCGGTTCTTTGTTCGCGCCTGGCAAGCAATGCTGCAAGCAAGAGCTCTGCTTACGGGAAATATGTAAGGACATTTTTTCCCCTGCTGCACAGGGTCTGCAACGCCTGTCTGACAACTCCCTTTATCCTCTCCTCCTCACCCCCTCCTCCCACGTTACAGCCCCCATGCGCAACGGCGACCGAGACAACAACGCGGTGACCTGCTGCAACCCACGAAGAGTGGGGTGGGCGGACCCCCGAAATATGTCACTTAACTCCTTCATTCTCGATAGACAGAATAACCTACATCCTCCGCAAGACAGTGAACGAAGTTGTTCATATTTCACAAATAAACTCCATCCAAAGTCCATATATCCCTCATTAGGCTACTGCTCTGCGTCCCACCATAGATAATACAACATTGGCAATGTACCAAAACAGCACACTCTGGTGCCCAAATAGTCACTTGAATCGGGAAACAATCCTAAATGCATCCACTTTAGAAATTTTATTGAGGGGGAATTATTAGGCTATAGTCCATGCATCCTTGTGTAAATAGCCTACAGTACAAAGACCGTTGCGGTCTTGCATTGCAGGGATGCGGAATGAGTAGCGTGGCTTGGATCTAACGCATGGCTGATATGGACAAAGGAAAGGTGGAGGGAATATTTTTGTTTTTTCATACGTGAAGAAAAACGCGGGGGTTGGTTTCTGAGATGCCACAGGCTTGGGAACCTGAGACGGAATGGTATAACGGGAGGGCGGCTCGTTTTGTCTCAGCAAGGAGGGGACTGTGAACCAGACGGGGTGGAGCGATACATCGCCTAGCCCCTCTCCGTGCAGACGGCCTTGTGTCCCGTTTGCCTAGAGCTCGGAGAATACTGTATCGCAAGTAGGCCTATAGCAGACAGAGAGAGGGGCCGGTCTATGGGAGGGACTAGCGCAAAGGGAGAATTGGAAAGAGGAGGGGGCGGGGAGGCGGCACGGGTGCTGTTTCTCCAGTCTCTTTCCCCTGTCTTTGTCTCACACTCTTTTGTTAGCCATGCCTAGCCTGCTGGTTCTAGCAGGGATCATGGAGAAAAATGGGGGTTACGGCGGGGATCTAGCCGGCTCCGGGTTCGGAAGCGAAGGTCTCCTAGTGCCACCCGACGAGGAAGAAGACGACTCCCGTGCCCTGAGGGTCGCGCTGGGCCAGCTGTCTCTACTGGGGCTTGGTGAAGGCGAGGACGGCGGCGGGGCTCCTGGAACGGGAGTACAGGATCGGAGTAACAATAACAATAACCATCACAACCATACCAATAATATTGGCGGAGGTGGTGGGGACACAGGGCTTTTGCAAGGGAAGAGCAAGTTATGTGTCCTGTACGAGGGTTCTTCAAGTGAGACGAAAGGACGAGGCTGCAACATAACAGAATGCGTCCCCGTGCCCAGCTCGGAACATGTGGCCGAAATAGTGGGGAGACAAGGTAAAGATTCCAACCAAATGTTCCTATTTAAAGTTATGTTGCTGTTCTGAGCTAAATGTGTCTACCTGTAGTTTGTAGGGTGTTTTTATAATGCTCTATAACTGTTAGCTGGTGTTATTGATATAGAAAAGGGAGTGGTGTTGTTTTTTGTTGTATTCTACACAGGCTTCCTTACCACTCTTTGGCCATGGTAACAAATCTGTTTCAAGTTAACATACTGTGGCAGAAACTGCAACGTTGTTGCAACTAGGCTCGGTTCTATTGTCTGTCTAGTGAATTTCAAACGTGGGGAGACACAAAGCAGGACTGTAACCGTTACCTCATGGGCGCATTATTCTACATCCAGCCATCAATGTCAGCTCACAGACGCACACTTCAGGCAGGGATAGCACTTGCTTCCTTTGTCGTCTGAACGCGCGAGAATGTTAAAAAAAAAAACGCAACGTGCTACTGGTAACGGAGGTATCTCGTCGCCCAGAAATGTTTACAAATTATTTATTGTCTTTATTGTGAATAGAACTTGTATTTGAGTAATGATTGCCGTTTTCAAGCAGTTGTTTTCAGTTTCGTAAATTCTAATTATGTTCATTGTTTTTGTTGCTGACTGCCCCAGTGACACAATTAGACAATGGCAAGAGTGTTTCTCTATATTCTCTATTCTTGAGCGAGTTAAAAAGTGAATTCCCAGATTTAAGATGGATATATCTGTGTATCAAATAATTGTCGAAGACATCGACATGAACCTGAATGACAGCAGCTGTCAAACAAAGGTGTGAAAGTGAGAGGGGGGTGAGGGGAGGGGTACCTTATTAGGCAGTGTTACCAGTAGACACTCGGGATGATCCAAGGAATCGAAGCGTGACTCAGCGAGAAGTTGGACCAACGTGTCAAGTTGAATGTTGTGTAGTTCTTCTATGTCTGACGTAAGATAAGAACAAAGAATAACATAAAATATGTGGCCTTTCTAAAACCTATTGCCCATATTGTTATTGTGATCAACACAAAATGGCTATTTATCAGACTGTAATATACGGATTCTCCAGACTGCTTGTAACCTGACCAACTCTCAGAAGCAGCAACTCTCAAGGTTGTTGATTTTTATTTATTGCTTTGTGGTACATGGTTGTTTTTGGTTGACTGCATCTATTGTTGACTGGCTCTGTTGTGATGAGTCCAAAAGATACAGAGGGGTTGGTTAGACAAGCAGGGATGAATGGGTGGGTGGATGGTTGGTGGGTCAGAGGCACTGGGCATTGAAAGGGAGTCACACCCAGACACCCAAACCAAGGGCTCCACCTGAACCTCACTCCAATGAACACTCCCAATACCACATGGTTTCCCAAGTCACTAAGAGAGAGAGGAGAGGGGGGACACACACCAATTCAGCCAGTGAATCCTAATTCATGTTTTTGGGGTTACACAAATAAACAGGTCCCCACAATGTCAAGTGGTTCCAAGGCAGCAGAGACTGTTTGCTTCAACTCAATTTTTTCCACAGATGTGGTGATCTGGTTTTTGTTGTGCCGTTAAGTGCTCTCATCTTCCTGTGCGTCTCCTGTTCGTTACTCTGAAGTGTAAGCTTCGCATTTTAATGGGGTAACTGATGACAGCTGTAGGGTGGATCCAGTGAGCACAAGTGCAGCAGAGGGCTTTGTGTTGACTGAGAAGTGCCGATTTGGAGGATTTGGGATGAGCTCCTTTTGATTCAGGGCCTCGTTAGTTAGTTCACATTCAACGCCCTCCTTCCCAGGGTCGACTACTGCCTGGTGAATCTGGCAAGTTAATGTCCCGTCCTGGAGAGGAGAATATTATTGTTTTCTCCTTTGTCAAAGTAATTTGAATTGATTCCGGAGGATGCTTTTGTATCGTCTAGGGCTACATTATTACGACTCTAGGTCAAGGGTGGGTTTGCCGTGCAGGCACCACTAACAATGGACACAGTACTGGCATAAAGTTGTGGAATGATATATAATTATCTTTGTTATTTGCTTGAAGGAAATTGTAAAGGTTCCAATGGAGTAGTTTTCTTTGTCTCCTCCTCTGTTCATAGTTTGACGTTTTTATGTAGCATATTGGTTTCAACTTAAATATCCATTCACCTTCCTGCTACAAAGGATCACTAAACCTTACATCTATCCTAAGTTAACGCATGGTTTAATATAATAACATTGTGGTTATTACATAAGTTATAACTATCATACATATTATATATGCAATAACTATCATACATATTATAAAGCTTGAGTGTTCCTTCTAACACCCTTATGATTAAACCCCAAATAACATCATCACCGCCATCATACTCAATAAATAAAAAAATATTATAGTTTGAACTCTTCAGCCCTCAGAGCCTCACTGAGTCACTCAGTCAGTGCCATCTAGGCTTCTGAAGTTTGTGCCCTAGTAGGTGGGGCTATTTAGTAGCATTAGGAAAGCACATCTCCCTCGGTTAGAGGTGTGCAGACATTTGATCCACACTGCTAAAGTCCCTGCACAGGGACTGCAGTTGAAAATAAGCAGGCTGGCTAAAACTGGCACTTTTACTGTAATGTTGATTAATGTGCACTGTCCCTGTAAAACGACATTGAATAAAGTAAGTAAAGTAAAGCGTATTTAGGCTACGGATGTAATGGTGTGCTGTGATTTGTAGTGCTACTTAGAAAGATGAGCTGAGACCTGACCATTGAATAAATTGCTACTTATTGTTACCAGACCACAGGACATACATAAGCCTCTTAAAGACCCTGCTAAGGGGAGACACTCAGGGATTCTTAGGGGTGGAACATAAACATGCATTTCAGAATGAGAACGGTAGCTGCACACCTGCCTATATGTCACCACAGGCTGCCGTAGTGGAGTGTTGCATGTCGTTTCCTGTTGGGTGTAATATATAGTGTACGGCTGTGTTTACCATATCCCTCTTGACCTCAAGTGCTACATTTACATTTTAGTCATTTAGCAGACGCTCTTATCCAGAGCGACTTACAAGCCTTCTCAACAATTACTCCTTTTTATTCCCCTCTTTGTCATATTACAACGTCTCAGTATTAGAGTTTAAGGTAATTTGACATGAAATAGCATTAGCCTGTACTCTCTCACATCTAGGGCTCTCGCTAAAAGCACTTAATATAGTCAGTTTTTACACACTGATCAAAAACAGAGCAAATGCACTGCAATAAATGACCCAAAAATGATGTATGTGTGGGCCGGAGGTAGCAGACATGTCAGTTCAAGGAGAGGGGCTGGTTGTTCGTGGCAACACTGTTGAATGCAGCCATAACTGTAGCCATATCACAGAATAGTTCTGATGTCCTTTGGAAACAGGTACAATAACTAATCTGTTTAGCAATGTTTGTACATAGGAAATAAAATAAAGGGGTGTTCTAAAAATACTTTGAGATCTACAGTCTCATTGTACAGATTGAGACTTGATGCCATGTGAAAACATGTGACTTAATCTTGGCAGAAATTAAAAAAAGTGTAACACTTTAAAATGTTGTAAAGGGGATAAAGACTAGTGACCATAGCTGGACTGTCTAAACACTCTGTAGTTGTGAGCATTTTAGACCTACATTTGCCATCTTTTAAAAAGGTATGTCAAAGGTCAACTATCAATTCTGTCTTTGTTTCCATAGAAGAAGAAAAAACATACAAAATTACAATCCTAGCTATTCCAAATTCCTTATATTTGATGAGTGTATCAGAAAATTGAATTAAATGTGTCCTTGGCTTTTTTAAAACGTTGTCTTTTGTTTCTGCAGGTTGCAAGATCAAAGCCTTGCGGGCCAAGACCAACACCTACATCAAGACCCCAGTGAGGGGCGAGGAGCCTGTGTTTCTCATCACGGGCCGAAAGGAGGATGTGGCCCTTGCCCGCCGCGAGATCATCTCTGCCGCCGAGCACTTCTCCATGCTCCGAGCGTCCCGCAACAAGCTGGGCGTGTCCTTCAGCGGTTCCCCGCCTGCGCCCCTGCCGGGCCAGACCACCATCCAGGTAAGGGTGCCCTACCGCGTGGTGGGGCTGGTGGTGGGTCCCAAGGGTTCCACCATCAAACGCATCCAACAGCAGACCTGCACCTACATCGTCACCCCTAGCCGAGACCGTGACCCCGTCTTCGAGATCACCGGATCACCCAGCAACGCCGAGAGGGCCCGTGAGGAGATCGAGGCGCACATCGCATTCCGAACGGGGGGTCTGCACGACCACAACAACGAGAATGACTGCCTGGGGCCGGATGGTGGCAGCCCAGTAGGCTCCGGGGGTCTGGAGAGCCGCCTGCAGCAGGTGTGGGGGCTGCAGGGGGGCCAGCGAAAGCCGTTGACCAGCAGCTTCCGCCAGAACTTCTCAGATGCCATGATTGGAGGAGGGGAAGGAGGAGGGCTAATCTACAGCAAGGGCAACTTCAACAGCCCCGGAGAGAAGCCCTGCTCCTACTTTGGCTCAGAGGGCACCCAGAGTTGGGGAGACCCAGACTACCCAAAACAGGTGGCCTTCTACGCCCAGCAGCGCTCCAAGAGCTTTGGAGGTCTGCCCCTGCCCCTGACTAGACTCTCTCCAGGCCTTCCTGAGCCCTGTGGAGGGAACACCGGCAACTCCTCAGGCACCAGCATCACTATTCTATCTGGCTCGCCTCATGCCCAGGCCCGCCGTGCCCACAGTGAGCCAACCTCGGGCGTGGGGTTCCCTGGACGCCTTCCTGTGCCGGACTCGCCACCGGCCACCCTCCGGGACTGCATGACCTGCTTCGAGAGCAAAGTGACGGCCGCCCTGGTGCCCTGCGGCCACAACCTCTTCTGCATGGAGTGTGCCATCCGCATCTGTGAGCTCAACCATCCAGAGTGCCCGGTGTGCCACACCCTGGTCTCTCAGGCTATCCGAATATTCTCCTAAAAAACACCACGTCAGTTTTTATCATTCGTTTTATCACAGTGTTTGTTCGACAATTATTTACTATTATTATTATTATGATTATTATTATTATTATTATACGTACTTTTCTTTTCTCAGAAAATTTTCAAACACACAAGCAGATATTTTAGAAGGCACTGCTTGCTTTACTAAAAAGTATAAGAAATATTTTGAATTTTTTCTTTTATATATATACATATATATTTTATAAAAGTTTTGTTTATAAGAAAAGTATAGTACCTAGCATTTTTTCATTTTTTTTTACTGCTGCTGTTTTTCATTCACGAATCACAGTATGGGCGGAGTAGATAGGAACGTGAACATTTAACGATTCAGATTTATTTTACCATGAAGTGGTTTTATATGGAGGAAGGAAGGAAGGAGGTGATCATTAAGGTTCAGTTTAACTCCCTGGTATCTTATCTGTACCTGAATGATATGGGAAGTCAAAATCGAACAGAAGGAAAAATATTGAATCTTTCATTGCACCTTACAATCGTCTTAGTTTTGGATAGTCAGATGAATGATTGTAAATCATCCAGAAAAATTACGTAGCTGATGAAAAGGTAAATCCCCCAATGTGGCTCGAAATAATGGAACAAACTCTGATATTGTCATTGAAAGTCTAAATTTGTTCCAATCAAAGGATGGACTATTCCATCATTGTCCCCTTTCTGACATTTGTATCCCTTACAAGCTTGTTGTTATACCTGGTAGTCCTTCCTAAACACCTGTTAGAATGGTAACAATATAGGACAGGATAACACACTCAAACGCCTTTCTTTATGCAGATATGTTTTACAGATTTCCTTTTTCACAAAGAGGTGAATGAATGCTACACATTGTATTGCTAAAATGTTCACTTCAATATCTGTTACACCTTGAATATCACTGCAGTTTGGTGAAAAGTTTCAGCGATGCCTGTTCCTCGTGGCACTTGAAAAGCATGTTGCTTTCACCGGTGTTAAGCACTGATTTAATTTGTGAGGCCAAAAGCCTTGGAATTCGTCCAGTTGGCTAATTTGGGAGATCCGTCTCCCCGACGGACTAGTTTCGAAGTCAACCTATCCCCACTTCATTGGCTTATGTGGTAATTTAGCTGTTATCTGAACGATGTAGGACAAAAACGAGAGCCACTTTTGACAGGCATCTCTCTGAGGTTTGCGCAGTTAGAGCGTCAGCCATTAGAGTGGACAGAAGCTGAGGAAAACATTGAGCTGTTCTCTGAATTGGTAATAGTGTGCCTAAATGGGCGAAAAGCTCCTAGAATACAGTACTACCATCCACAGAGCTCCCTCACCAACCCCGTCCAGCAGCTTTGTATTTTAGCTCAGAGGCCTATAATTATCAGAGCTGTGCAGGAGCAGGTGTTTAATAGCGCACTGTGGATGTGACCTCAACTTGGAGGTCTTTTTTAGCCCCCTCTTTTTCTATTTTCTTTGGGAGTGGCCTTCCCCCCCCTGCTTACTGTTCGATCGTTGGCTGTTGAAGGTAGTAATGACTGCAGCCGACCCACAATGCATTGCCTCCCTGAGTGGGGCGTATTGTCTGGGCCCAGCGGTGGCGTGGGCCCGGAGTGCTCGGACACGGCCCGGAGAGACTCATTGATAATTAGGCAAATGGGCCGGTCCAGGTGCGGACCGTGTGGGGACCCTGGTGCTGTATTGGGGGTGAGACTGAGTCCCGGCGTGGGCCGCTGACCGCCCCACCTCTCTGTCACAGGCACAGAAGGTCCAGTCTGGGTGCAGCTGGGCAAATGGGACCCCTCCTTCCATCCCTCCCTCCCTCTTTCCTTCTCTGCTGCTCTGAGCTATCCCTACTGGGGAGAGGGGCCTCCTTTGTCCCAACACTCAGAAAAAAAAGCAGCATATGAAAGAAAGAGACCAACTGAACAGGCTGGCAGCTCTGAAATGAGAGTGAGGGGACTTTGGAGAAAGAAAATATATCTACAGTGTCAGTAGATACAGTAATTACCTAGTGTAAAATTATGACACACAGATCCAATTCTTGAAATGCCCCACTGAACTAGATCTCCATGTGTTCTCAATAAGATAAGGGTATGAAAACATGCAGACATATATAATTTAAGAGTACGAGGAGTCTGATCACCCCCCACCCCAATTTGGATGAAGGCCTTTGTGACAGAGAGCGAGTGCAGATCGAAGTTCCCCCCCCCCCCCCCCCCCCCCCTCCCCCGTATCTCCCTTCTGTATGGGACATCCTGCAGCTGCCCACTCACCACAGACACACAAGCTTAGCCAATGGCAGGCTAGCACTGGGCCTTCAGAATGAAATCAGACGATTGTAATTGACAGGAAAGCGGAGGAAACGCCCCATTTAGCCACCACTCATGCTGAATCAAATTACACACCCTTTGCCTGTGCCTCTGCCTTAGCCCCAGCCTGGGGATTTCAGAGGGAGGGAGGGGGATTAGAGCCGTTGGAGGATAAGAGGGGGGCTTTTTGGGGTGGAGAGAGAGAAGGCTGCTCCCAAAGAAAAGAGAACCTGCAGATCTAGTCTTTGTGAGAGGGGTAGTTAGAGGGCTGCTGCCTCATGTTTGCTGGTGGTGGCAGGTGAACAAGGACATGCTGGTGATTCAGCAGGTCTCCCACTAACACTGCATCAGATTGCTCTATTGCGTTTTTTCAGGAGAACTCTTTTGCTCAACTTCTGTCCATGAAAATATGATGAATAGTTACAATAGACGGTTGTCCCTACTCTAGGCAGCAACAGAGCCACCCTTTCCCCCATTGTATTGTCAGCAGACCACTCCTGTTGTGTGTGGACTGTGAAGAAATAGAACTGTACCTTCAGAGTATCTAAATTCTATTACATATATAGAAATTAATTGACTATTTATGAATGGGGAGAATTGCACAGTGGTTTGGTCTGAACTTTCAATGACAATTTCAAGGCAGTATAACGCTGTTAACTGAATATAGTATTTTCTATTATTTGTTATTGTGTTTTAAGCCTTAATATTCTGTATTAAAAGATACATATTGCTTTCACTTTGGCATAAAAGTTTAGTGACATACAGTAGGCCTTCAATAGTATTGCCCCCCCAAAAAAACTTTAAAGTAACTATTTGTCAGAAAATAATGTGAATCAACCGGGGTGGGTGGGATTAAAGGGAATTGGGAAATTAGGCTTTTAAACACTTCATATTAAAATATAGAGTAAAGCACCTTATTATGAGAAAACACATATAATTAATACCAAACCGACCACTGATGGTGAATATTTCTTCATAGATTTTGAAAGACATGCACATAAGGTTTCCCTATCATGTTTTTATAATATAATTATTGTTATTCCTTGTAGTAGTGGTATTATGGGAGACCTCTCATCCATTCAGTCAGTACTGATGACTTGGTTGAGTTTGCACTGGTTTAATGTAGAGGGCTTTTTAGAGAGTCTCACTGTTTTAGAGGCTGTGGGAGAAATTTGCATTGTGCTTTATGAGAAAGGATTCTGCGCATCTGTGTATATATATATCAGTAATTTACATCCAGTCAAATGCCTGCTATATAAGTGGGATTTTGATTATTTTTACAAGGTGAAAATATCCTTTTGAATTTGTTTGTTTATGGACTTTGAAGATCACTTTTATTTATATACAGTACCAGTCAGAAGTTTGGACACACCTACTCATTCAAGGGTTTTTCTTTATTTTTACTGTTTCTACATTGTAGAATAATAGTGAAGACATCAAAACTATGAAATAACACATATGGAATCATGTAGTAACCAAAAAACTGTTAAACAAATCCAAATATATTTTATATTTGAGATTCTTCAAATAGCCACCCTTTGCCTTGATGACAGCTTTGCACACTCTTGGCATTCTCTCAACCAACTTCACCTGGAATGCTTTTCCAACAGTCTTGAAGGAGTTCCCACATATGCTTAGCACTTATTGGCTGCTTTTCCTTCACACTCCGGTCCAACTCATCCCAAACCATCTCAATTGGGTTGAGGTCGGGGGATTGTGGAGGCCAGGTCATCTGATGCAGCACTCCATCACTCTCCTTCTTGGTAAAATAGCCCTTACACAGCCTGGAGGTGTGTTGGGCCATTGTCCTGTTGAAAAACAAATGATAGTCCCACTAAGCCCAAACCAGATGGGATGGCGTATCGCTGCAGAATGCTGTGGTAGCCATGCTGTTTAAGTGTGCCTTGAATTCTAAATAAATCACAGACAGAGTCACCAGCAAAGCACCCCCACACCATAACTCCTCCTCCTCCATGCTTTACGGTGGGAACTACACATGCGGAGATCATCCGTTCACCCACACCGTCTCACAAAGACACGACGATTGGAACCAAAAATCTCAAATTTGGACTCCAGACCAAAGGATACATTTCCACCGGTCTAATGTCCATTGCTCGTGTTTCTTGGCCCAAGCAGGTCTCTTCTTATTATTGGTGTCCTTTAGTAGTGGTTTCTTTGCAGCAATTCGACCATGAAGGCCTGATTCACACAGTCCCCTCTGAACAGTTGATGTTGAGATGTGTCTGTGACTTGAACTCTGTGAAGCATTTATTTGGGCTGCAATTTCTGAGGCTGGTAACTCTAATGAACTTATCCTCTGCAGCAGAGGTAACTCTGGTTCTTCCATTCCTGTGGCGGTCCTCATGAGAGCCAGTTTCATCATAGTGCTTGATGGTTTTTGCGACTGCACTTGAAGAAACATTCAAAGTTCTTGAAATTTTCCGTATTGACTGACCTTCATGTCTTAAAGTAATGATGGACTGTCATTTCTCTTTGATTATTTGAGCTGTTCTTGCCATAATATGTACTTGGTCTATTACCAAGTAGGGCTATCTTCTGTATACCCCCCCCCCTACCTTGTCACAACACAACTGATTGGCTCAAACGTATTAAGAAGGAAAGAAATTCCACAAATTAACTTTTAAGAAGGCACACCTTTTAATTCAAATGCATTCCAGGTGACTACCTCATGAAGCTGGTTGAGAGAATGCCAAGAGTGCGCAAAGCTGTCATCAAGGCAAAGGGTGTCTATTTGAAGAATCTCAAATATAAAATATATTTTGATTTGTTTAACACTTCTTTGGTTACTACATGATTCCATATGTGTTATTTCATAGATTTGATGTCTTCACTATTATTCTACAATGTACAAAATAGTACAAATAAAGAAAAACCCTTGAATGAGTAGATGTGTCCAAACTTTTGACTGGTAGTGTATATATCTCTATATAATGTCCCCTCATCCTTAAACATAAAGACGTATATTGATAGGCTACTTATATGTATGGATCTAATAAATTGAAGCATTTCATCGTCAAATATATAGATAAGAATACCATAATACCACATACTGTAATGATGAATACAGTGCTGTATTGATGATTCCACTGACATATACCGATACATTCTCTCAAATATGTAAAGACGTGTTCTAAAATATTCCTAGATCCCTTTGGATGAATCAGGTTTTATGTACATTAGGATGAAAAGCAATAATGTCAATACTGCAACAGTAAACAAAAGAGCCAGTTTAGTAAGTTCATAGAATTCAGCGCCATCCAGAACGCAACCTTGATTCATTTTAATATTATTCCATTTTTGTCTAATATCTTCTAAAAATGCATATGGATTTATGCCAATGTAGGATGAGAAATGTAATTAATTAGCAACAGTTTCAGGCACAAGAGCATGTTTTTGTTGCTTTCCTACGTCTTGCTTTTAGTAATTTTTGACTGCTTAATCCCGTCTTTTTCACATTGAATATTAATAAGACTGCAAGCATACCTCAAATACAGGGTGTGCCAACACCAGTGCAACCTCAAGATTCCCTCCTCTTAGTATCTGTGGAATTTTGAGAACACAATACCTATTATTTGGAAGAAACCAATTGCATTGTAAAAGTAAGCTTTTCAGTGTAAACATACAATGCATTTCAAGAACATAACATTAACAATTGAGGCATTTCCTGTCTGTCAAAAGCAGGAATTCATAACTCCTATGGTGATAGATTGGTGTCTAAGTGACAACTTAAATCACACACTAAAGTAGACACAATAGTAAGACAGAAGGTTGGATTACTTCCATAGGATCTGTCGAAGACCTCTTCCATAAGAACGTATTCTGATGCCCAATGCATTGAGCCAAACATTTTCATCACTTGAGAATGTAGCATTTATTTAACATGTATTACTCTGTATTTATTTATGTTTAGGGAGAAACATTTATAGTTACCATAAGCATATCATGAGAATATATTTCAGTTTTTAGATTGGTTCCAAAACATGTTTTGTAGCTGATTTGATGGCACAATTTAATTATTTCTTATGCTGTCTGTTATAAGTAGTTGTCATTATCCAGCTTTTAGCTGATTTAAGATAAAAGGTCAAAGGTAGCCAAAGAACAAAACCTTGGGAGAGGTTCGAGGACATCTATAGTAATTATATTGCTAATCATAAGGTATGTATTGGTCATTTAGCAGACGCTCTTATCCAGAGCAAAGCGAATGTTAACACATTTCCCCCTTATGATAGTTTGGATTTATTGATGAAGGTGGCTGAGGTCAATACAATAATAATCAGCTTTCATTTTTAATAACCCACTAGTGATAGTTTTGTCAAAAGTCATACAGCATACAAGCTTCAGTCAATATCTGTGAAATGAAGCTTGTCTCAAAAAGACATCCTGTTTCAGTTTGGTCTTTTTTTTATGCTACAGGAGCTTCAGTGATCAAATACCCAATCACTGCCCAAAGACACCAATCCTAATGCGTCACCCTCTTAAGTTGTATTGATATTATTATTGCCAATTTAGATTTATGAATAATGATGTCAATAAGTTTTGTTTAATCATCACAGCTCTTAATGTGAAAAGGCTAGACTTGTCTTGGAAAGCTGATGTCTCTTCAGAATGGGGCAGGAACACATACTAAATGAGAAAAAGAAGGGGTAGAGATTTGTATTTGTTTACAATTCTGTTAAAATTCATGTTGAATTGCAGCTGAAGGGCTACATTCGTCTCAAAGACCCCAGACTGAACAATAGTTGAATAATGGATAAGAAAGTTGTTAAGATTACACAAATACCCTGCAGTACCTTTGTTAGAGTTCAAAAAGAATACTGTGGTTTTAATTTAATATTGTTTATAGTTAACTTTATTCTCCATGTTGAAGTATGATAGCTGAAGTTTAGTACAGTACATAAGAGTAACAGTAAAATTAAGATCCCATGGCATTAACATATCTCATCAACATAACCACAAGGTGTATAAAAAGCTTTAAAATAAATTAAGATGGACATATATTTAATTCCATATATTTACCTTGAGGTGTAATTGATATAGAAATTAAAATAATGACTGTCTTATAAGATGAGGCATAGCTTGATATATGCACCCACTCACCCAGTATAGGAAGTACTCCACTTAATTTAGTGGAGAAACAAAGATGGCGGTGAGATAACTCTTAGGGGGATGTCTATTTCATTAACTATTTTCTTCAATTGTTAGTGTTCTTTACAATAAATTAAGCATACTATAATAGTAACCGTAGAAACTGAACAGTTTTCGTCTCTTTAACAAATGTACAACTCTTTATGCATTATGTATAATAATAGTAGCGCCCCTTTCAAGGAGTGATAGGAAATCCTTTAAATTGATGCACTTAAGCAATTATTTCTGACCTATCATAATCACAAGATGAGCAAGTAATGCATTTGAATGTAAAATAAATTACCAGTGCACTCCTTTTACCTTATGGTTGATCAATTTTAAAGTGAGCTGGAAAGAATTTGTGAGAAGGTTTCACCGCAGACTATATTTGAGTTCTTCCACATACATTTATAGAAAGCAACTTTAAAAAAGTAATCTTATTACAGTTTCTTAAATCTATTTTGCTAACATGGGTTATTATTTCATAGAAAGACGAGGAATAAGTCAGTTTCTGGATGTTATTTATGAAAATCTTAAAATGAAGAAAACATATTTATGAGTAACCTCAAGAAATTTGTTTTTTAATTAAAAATACAAGAAGTTAATATATTTCTAAACACAGGAAAGTTGGTTTCTACTAACGGTTTAAAAAATAAAATAAGTTTTATTTATGAAAGTTATGGACTCACCTCCACACTGTATTTCATTGTAAATGAAATAAGAGTTGATGTGGGTTCCCCATAGCTTATATTTTAACTTCCGATATGCACTATTTCAAAGAACACCAGTGCATTCACAGTGGAATTATGACAGAAAATAATATAATATTTTTAGGATTTTGAGGTATTTTAGTCACTGAGCATCAATTTTGTGTCTCAATTACACATTCATTTCTTGCATCAGCACTCTTTCTCTATGCTGGTTGCTTACCTTTTCCCCTTTGACTAACCCCATACTGACTGGCCCCATTACACATTTCCTCTGGAGTCTTAACTTGCTTTTATTAATCTCTAACTTTTTATGCGAACACAGCTTCAGTTGTGATTACAATGCTGAGAACGAGTGATTCAGGTGTCCCACAGGGGCACATGTAACGTATACAGATCCACACACATTCATATGTCTACAACTTGGGACCCTTTGTGATTGGTAAGGCAAGAGAGGACATCATCAAAGCCTTAATGAATGATTACCTTAAAATTGGGCTCAAGTTTCTTTGTGAAAACATGACAGGGTGAGAACTGAGCTGAGTGATCAATAGTTTAGCACATAGGCACACTGTGTAGTAGATCTATGGTAACCAGCCACACACACACCAACACATTCATATCCGTACTAGTTTGCATGTATCTTGTATGGTCACCTAGACTGGATAAACACCACAGATCCTATGTGTTTTGTTTTAACACAAGGGGTCTGGGGCTGTTTGTTCCTTGTAGATTTTCATAGTTGGCGCCTCTTCAGAAACAGAAAAAAGGACAAGTGGTTTCAGGTGAAGCAAAGAGAGGCCATTTCAGTCCCCATGTGAGACTGTCAATATTTTACCCTTTTCATTTTCTCATCCCAGTTCTATAAAAGGGGAAGAAAAGCTTGGTTGTCATTCCTTCACATATGGATGAACCTAAAATGTATTCATTTAATCTCAACTAGGTAGTTAAAAGTGAACCTTTGTCGTACAATTCAACATGTCAGGACGGTATATTTTCCGCCACCACTGACAGAAGCATGGGAACTGAAATGACCTTCTGGCCTTAACGTCGTCCTCTTCTGAAGGGGCCCATTGCAGTCTGACAGTTTGTCTTTGGTAGTGTTTCTTCAGATTCTCCCGGCACCGTAGAAGTGTTTCATACCGGTCTTATAGTGGTCTTAGTGCATTAGTTTTGGGTCAGCATCTCCTGGCTTTAGTTTCTGGTTTCTCTGTGATCAGTGAGAGAGGGTTTGCCATGTGGCTGGCCGTCACTTTGATAAAATAAAAAGTCTTCTTTGAACTGTTACAGTGTGTCATGCCCACAAGAGGCATGTGATATTGCAGGTTTATTTCTTAGCACATGTTTTTGTGAATAATTTCTTTGACATTTTATTATTGTATCTGCACCATATTAGTTTTGGTTTCTGTTATTTTTTCAAAGATGTATTGTAAATGTTTCTAATAAAACAAAAATGAAATCATCTCCGATGGATTTTGCTTTGTCTTATGAGTATTTTAAAAAAAGTTGCAGTTGTGAAATAGCAAATGAGTACCATAAGTTAAGTGTAGCCAAAGTACCATACAGTAATTCCACAGTATGTGATTTTTCAATGAAAAGTAGGTACAAATAAGGCATATGATTAAGGCATAAAATAAAGGAGCAAGAAATGAAATTTATTTATACATATGCAATCCAACTATACACGAGAATTAACATTTTAAAAACCTCTAACCTTTACCACCCAATGTACTATTGGGAATGCCACAAGGAAAAAAGCAGTGTTGTTGGGGAAAAAACTCAGCAGGATAATGACTGTTTACACTGTTGACCTTCGGCTGTGGTAAAGGCACACTGAAACTTTCCCCACACCTCCCCTCTTTTGCCAAACTAGCAGATCTATAAGGGCTAGTATCCTCCCTAGTGCTTACTCTTACCAACCTACTGACAGAACTACACACACCCAGAAAAAACAGAAAATATAACCATAAAAAGAGACCTGGGACACTCTTAAGAGATATCCCAGAAGGCATTATACTGTTCCAGTTACATACAGTGGATAAGGGGGGGGTGGGCAGTGGAAGGAGTTCATTTACAGTAAAACAAGCCATCTTGTGTACATCAGACACCCAGCAGCGGGCAAGGCTGAGTGCCCTTACTACCCATCTCCTGCAACATGAGCTGTCCATCCATCCAGGACAGCAGGCAGCAGGGAGGGCTCCACTCAGAGACCATGGTTTATGACCACCACCCCTCCAACCAATATCCCCTCATCACCCTCCCATATCTACACAGCCATGGGGAAAGCGACAGCAATTCAGTTAAACAGAAAAACACCCAAAAGAGCAAGACTGGTTTGTTTGCAAAAAAGACATAGGCCTATGTGAGAAATATTGCTGTGCACAAAGTACTTTGTAATGGGTTTGAGGGAGGAGGGGTGAAAATGTTGATCACAAAAAAATCTGAAGAGCAAACTTTATTCTGTGTAATAACTTAAAGGGAAGTCGAAGTGCACTGATAAAATGGACATGAAAAGTTACCTCCACGGACCCCCATTTTGTGCAGTTTAGATTGGCCTGACATATTCGACCAGGTACATTTGGGATGAGATGGCTTATCTCCGCGTTTCCCCATTAGCCAAGGGTAGTTACATTTAATGACTCCATCAAAAAAGGATTTGATTACCAGTGAAATCAAGAACAGAAAGAGAGAGGACACACTTCATTATTAGTAAGCAGCTTCAGATCAAAACCACCCAGTGTTGCATGTTAGCACAAACCCTTTGGTCAAACAAGACCTCAATATAGTGTTAAATAAATATCATTGGGACAAACTCAAATACGTTTGGGAGGAGCTGACTGACAATGGGGGGGGGGTTATTGCCCCTTTTCTGTTCTGGGGAATTGGGTGTGTTCACAGGCTTATTAAATTGAGCTGACAATGGGGGATCAGTTCACAATGAGTGAGACAAAAACTGTGGAAAGATATGGCGGACCATACCCTAACATGCTCAATTTCTCAATTCATATAAATGAATTCAATTCAAGTCCTTTTTCATATTTAAAACCGATCAAGCCAAGGCGTAACCATAAAGCTTATTGAATTAGATCGGGACAGACTTCTCAGAGGAAACAATGCAAACAGAGGCTATGGAAACATCTGGCTGCCCCCCTTTGTCTGCCTGTCTTTCTGTCCTTTTGCCTCCCTTTGTATCACTCCCCCCGTTTCTGTCTGCCTGTATCCTTGTCTCTCGGTTTCTCCTCCTTGTCTCCCAGTCCTCCCTCCCCGTCTACCTGTCTGTCCCTGACTCTCCCTGGCGGTGGCGAGGCCTCAGTTGTTCTGGCAGCAGGCACTCGACTTGGCAGCGTTCTGCGTGGGCTGCACCGTGATTGGCACCACATTGGAGTTGGGCAAGAAGTCGGCGTCGCTGCGGCCCGACATCTGCCTCTGGGACACGATGTTGTAGATGGCTGCAGCAGACGGACAGACAGACAGGTGAGGACACAGATAACAGTTGCTGTTGGGTTGTTAGGTGAGGAGAACGGGAGAGTGTTTCGTCAAGGACTACAGCAGATACAAAACTGAGAACAAGACGGTCATGCAATGGGGACCAAACAGCATTTCACTTTCCAGGATTGTGTAAATAAATACCAAAAACAAACATAAAATGGAGACAAGTTGTCATAGAAACCACACAGCAGCACACTGTGGCTCCTGGGGACTGAACTTCTGCACCTTCCCTAGGATTACTCGAGTCTGGCACGCCAAACTAACTTCAGACTGACTCATACATGCCACTGACTGGCTGGTGAATCCCCAAGGCAGTTCCCTACCTCAAAATTAGCAAGACATTGAAAACCTACAGTGAAAACGAGCAGACAAGACGACCTCAACTAACCCTTGACCTGGTATGTCAACCACTAGCTAGTCAGCATGCTTCCTGGGTCAGGGAGTTCAATTCCTACATGGCTGTGTTTGAGCACACTGCTATGCGCTCTGTTCTCCTCTCTTAAATGAGCTAATTAGAACTATCGTTAGCTCAATGGGCCTAGTTGGTTTGAAGTTTCTATGAATAAAAAATTGGTTGAAGAGTAGAATGACTAATTGTACAAATGCAGGCAGAAAGCAGAACACAAATAGCAGGGAGCATGCTGACAGCCCTATAGCAATTGATTTGAAGGCCTCACTCAGTGAGAGGCTTGTTCCTCAGACACTCTTGGGTTTCTGAGTCGGCCGTTGCTCATTTTTCTATTTTATAGCAGCCATGCCTTAACAAGGCATTTCTAAGGTGTGGCTAATAAGTCAATGCTTCTCAGTAAGTTGCTCTTGTAGAGGTACTTAATGTGAGTTCTGGGTATGAGGGACTAAACGATGAGACACCTGGAAAGCTCATATTTGCATTCCAAAGTACCAAAAATAAATGCTTTAGTGGTTTCCTGGCAAACATCAGATCTGATTGAGGCTCACACAAAGTGGGAGTGTCTGAGTGTGCCAATTACAGATGCTTTTGACCTGCAGAGTAATCTTACAGTAGATGCCTCGTAATAACCTGGATTTTGCTGCCATCTATTGGTGGAAGATAAGTCAGTGCTGAACAAATGGACTACAAAGCTCTCAGAGTACAAATAATATATATATAAAAACTACAGAAACGTTTGGTATGGCCGTTAATATAGGAGAGACCTTTACTTGGACTAGCGACTCTTTTTAAGCCTTTTAAGTGTTAGAGTAGGCCAGCTCTTTCACAAGATGGCATGATTCTGTGTGCACTACAGGGTGAACACAAGTTGCAGTTTGGGGCAATTCCACTTTAAAATGTATACCAAAAAAAAAAACATTGATTTCAATGATGAACAAACCATAGAACACTATGCATAAAGACTAATTTTAACAATTTCCACAGAAACTTTTACAAAAACACATTTGCAGGAAGAACTGCGCAGATACAAAGTTTGGTAACAGAATAAAACTGAGGGAGATTTTACCGTAATTTACCGTTTCCAATAAATGTTATTTTATACTGTATAAATTGTTCAAAGTAGTTACTGTGCATAGAGTTGTATGGTTTGTTAAACTTTTAAATCAATGGTTTTTGTTTGGCATACATTTTAAAGTGAAAAATCGTCACAGTGTAATTCCGTAACGATGGAATTGCCCCTTATTAAAATCACAAGCAGTCCCAATGTGTATGGTAGGCAGTATTGCATGGTATATTGTACACTAACCTGTGAGAGTGGTCTGGAAAGCCAGCTCCACATTAGAGGAGTCTAACGCCGAGGTCTCCAGGAAAGACAGTCCATGCTTCTCTGTAGAAAACGGGGGGGGACACACACACACTCACAGGTCATATTCATTGTCCATACTAGTAGGCACTTCATAAAACAGCTATCCAGTCACTATACATCAGCAATGAGGCTATTTGCAACAGTCACCACAGTGTAGGCTAACTGATAGAGCAAATAGAAATGGCATGATGTCGATGACCCTTTGTAGTAGTGCTGCATAAGCCAACCCTGGTGACAAATCAATAGCAGAAATTGAATGAGAGCCTGTGGTTTTACATGGTATGTTGTTTTGCTCTACACAATGACGCCTTCCAGTCTGGCTTGGCCATCACAAGGACAATTCCATTTGTTCATATACATCAGCCACTCTTATCAAGAGCAATTTACAAGTCAAAGTGTATTCCATGCATGAACTAAGACTCAAGGTCTTAAGTAAACACTTGAAAACTATTATGCAGAGCTACAACAAAGGAGAAGTGTGATAAGTTGGAAATGTCACATTGGAGTGTGGAGAGAAGCTAAAATCATAATGGAGTCAACTCGACTGGCTTTTTTTCCAATTGCTGGGAATGTGCATTCAGAACCATGGGCTGTTAATCACTGACAGAGGCAGCCTGATGGGAGCTCTGTTGTCTCTACATCAAAGAGCAGCCCCTAAGGGGAAAGCAGACAGTGACTGACAGTGGAGGGCATTCCCTTGTCCATTGGGAGGCTCAGGTGCATCACTTTCCCCAGCCCCAGATTATTTTTGAAATGTTCTTGTTCCAATTTTGAAAGCAAGATTATGGTAATGCTTATCAAAACATTGGTATTGTGTTGTTGTTCAGCTTGCTGTATCACTTTATGTCCACTGCTATTGCGAATAAAAAGCAAAACTTATCGAGGGAGAAACAACTCTCCTGTACTGTCCTCTTGGCAAGGTAATGCTGCTGTAGTAGAATAAACAAACAGATCAACTAGATGGCTATAAAACTAGTTGATGTGAGGGTACCTGCCAAGGCCTTGGCCTCGTCCGTGGGCACGGCCCTGAGGTGGCGCAGGTCACTCTTGTTGCCCACCAGCATGATGACAATGTTGCTGTCAGCGTGGTCCTGCAGCTCCTTCAACCAGCGTTCAGCGTTTTCATACGTCAGGTGCTTGGCGATGTCGTACACCAGCAGAGCCCCCACTGCCCCACGGTAGTACCTACACAGAGGACAGGAGGAGGGAACTAAGTGTTACTGGGAGCAGTAGTGGACAGAACACCAGAGCATTGGCTGAGTCAATGGAGTGGTACATTTAGTTAGTCATTCCCTAGATGAAATGCTATTGCATACATCATAAGCAAAGTGCTCAAAGTTGTCAACAAGATGAGAAAAATTGGAAAATTAGCAGAAATAGGCTGGAATGTTCTGCATGTACAAACATCCTCAATGGCTGCGTTTACACAGGAAACCCAATTCTGATCTTTTCCCCCCACTAATTGGGTTTTTTGACCAATCCCATCAGATCTTTTTCAGAGCTGATCTGATTGTCAAAAGACCAATTAGCTAAAAAAGATAATCAGAATTGGGCTGCCTGTGTAAACGCTGCCAATATGTCACAGGTGCCTGGCAGACAGACCCAAAACAAACAAATCACTACGTGTTCGAGCTGTGTTAATACTCACGCGGAGGTGATGGCTCTGTAGCGCTCCTGTCCTGCCGTGTCCCAGATCTGGGCCTTGACGGTCTTGCTCTCCACATGGATGCTGCGCGTGGCAAACTCCACCCCAATGGTGCTCTTGCTCTCCAGGCTGAACTCGTTGCGGGTGAAGCGGGACAGCAGGTTACTCTTCCCCACTCCAGAGTCCCCAATCAGCACCACTGGAGCACAGAGAGAGGAGCGAGGGCATGAGTCAGACAGACACCACCAGAATAACAATACAGTACGTTACCCACTGTACAGGGGTCGACAAACAACTTGTTTTCTACAATGTAGGAACAGGAACACTCAGTGGGGGTAAAAAACAGGTCTGACAAAGAAAATCATGGTAGAAGATACGACAGCTCCTGATTGGGGTCTAAGAGCATTGCGCCATGCGTCTACTGCTCTGTTAGTGATTAACAGTCTACTGAGAAGGCCTGACTGTACTTGACTGTAGTTCAATAAACAATATTTGTGCAAAATACAGGCCATCTGGCTTGTTTTTGCTTTTGACAAAGACCCATGACGTGACGTTTCAAACTTCGTGAGGTAGTGTAGCGCCTAGGCTAAGTATTGTCATGAATAACCAAAGTTTGATTTAATTGACAAAGAAGATGATGCCTTGTGTAGTTCAGCCTATCCACTGAACCCTGCCCTTATGGAGCAATGAAACATTTGGCATCTGTTCCCGTTTTGACACCCGTTCATTTCCAAACACAAGGTGGGGGTGTGTTGGGAAAGAGGATTTTACAATGACTGAAATCCAGGTGAGTCAGGAGGAAAATCCTAACTCAAAGCTCACCACCCTGTTATTAGGAAATAGGAACTGGTTGTGTGTTGACGAGGTCTTATTGACACATCTCCCACTCCCACAGAATGTAGGCTGTGTTAATCATACAAGCTAAGCATGGAAGCTCATCACATGAAAATGCTACAGTGGTGCAACAGACAGGTAGAAACCTGTCTACCAATTGACGATTGTGCTGACTGACTCAAGCTAGGAGAACCTAACAAAAGTTCACTTGTTCCACAGGCAATCCATCGGCAACTCTCCACATCAGTTAGCAACATGAGAACTGGGACTTTATAGTTCCAAGAAAATCCTTGTCAGTTGCAAGAAGGACTCTGAACTACAATTCCCATTGACTAGCCTTTCTGGTAACAGTGATAATACGGTGGCTGAGGAACGAACAAAAGCATTATGTAACTTTCAGTGTACTTGTCACCAGAAACATAATATCACCAATTTAGTCTACGGTATTGTGTAGGCTGCATTCCAGAGTTCTAAAGCTACAACCATTGTTCTATTCTTGGTCGCCATCACTACATAGCCTAGGCCTAAACAGTGTAGTCTAGCTTCCTTCAAAATCTAAATTCTATTTCCCAATACAGTATAAGGAAGTTATTTTAAGTAGGCCTATCTTATCTGGAAGTCAAATCAACAAGAGAGCATATGTTTATTTGTAAAGAGAACACTCAGTAGGAGTCATTTCAACAAGAAAGCTGGTCAACTTGCTGTGCAACACTTACAGGCTCTTAGTCGGGAGCAGTGATTCAACCGCTCACCTGACTGACTCATGCCTAAACAGTGAGGGGTGCAGTAAAGAACCGCAATTAAAAGCAGGAAACTGGAGGGGGAGGAACCTACTGGTTATGTGGCCTACTGACAGTCCTCACTTTATGCTCTATGGGGCAGTGTGTTCTAGCAGTGTTCCACTGAATTCAGATAATCGTGCTATTTGGACAGCACTCAAGGCATTTTAACTGATAGTGAAGTTATGCTCATCTTCCCTACTGTCAGGGCCCTTCTGTATAGGGACACACACAGACAAACAAACACTCACTTGATTCATGCAAGTCTTTCCAGTTTGACAACCCATGCCTGTTTGGGGTTCTACATTTGAACAAAGGACCCTGTGCACTTCATGTCCCTTTGTCCAGGACAAGACAACCCACATGGGAAGTAGTTAGTGTAAGTACAGGGGAACAAAGGGGAAACATTTGTAGAGAAAAAAGAATTTGCTATTATTGTAACATACCAATTGTTGATGTATTCCTAAAAATGTAGGCCTACACATTCTCATATGTAGGTCTAACAATAGGCTACAGTGCATGTGCACAGAAAAGTCTGGGAAAGGTACAACTAGACAACATAGAACATAAGGTCATGTTGAGTAGGGGCCAATAAGCTTTCACTCTGTGCTATCTGTTAGATGAATTAGGAATCATTAGGCCAAGGTCATCTTTACTCCACTTCATTCAGATATAAACAGATCGTGGAGATGACAGCTTTCTCTAAACCCAGTGTGACTCACCAATATACCAGGTCAATGGAATCCCTACAAACAGAATGGTGCTTAAAGGCTAAACCATGTGGTCACCTTAGGGCAATCAGCTTGAGTAAATGTAGTATTTTGAAGTGTCATAGTGCCACAGTCAGTGGGCTATATGACCCCTGTTGACCAATACTTCCTCTCCTGATGATTGCGTCATTGGCCCACCACAAGACGACTAAACAACAGATGTCATTTACTGGATACTTGGTGCTTATTAACGGTCAGTGTGCAGTGCTGTTGCAATCAACTAACTTAGCCTACTACACAGCTGTAGCCATATTTATACTAAATTGTAACAAAATGGTTGTAGCAATTCAGAGTGAAGTTTTTACTGTAACTGGTACTGCTACGCATTTCCTCGTGTCATTGAGAATTGATTTTGGCAGCGCTCGTTACATAGTTGTAGCAACACAGTCCGATTACTTTTGACAGGGCGGAAGCAGCGACAAATGAAATGTATTACATTGAAAGCGGTGTGGTGCTGAACAAAATGGCAATGTCCTAGTATCGTAAACACACTCACCTTTGAAAAGATAGTCATATTCGTCTTCTCTATTCGTCATTTCTTCAACGTTTCTACCTACGGAAAAGTGAAACGTTCAAACCCTCCCGTGGTGGTTTTTCTTTTCAATTCGAGAAAACTTCTTGACCATTTATCTCGCGACCGACCGCTTCCTCAGAACGAACAACCGAGTCAAAAAGGTCAACACCTCTAATATCCTGACGTTATGTCCTAATATATTATTCGACTATATGTCTCCTATTATACTGTGAAATGTTAAAAGACAACAAACTATCTTCCACAAACTTTCGACTCCTCTTCCCTACCACTTGCCATTTCCGAGCGACGTAACGTTGAGTCTCTAGCCCCGCCCTTTACCCAGTTTCAACTGGCCAGTCGACGACAGATACCTGTCACTGACTTTCCTGTGATTGGTCTACTTTTTTGTCATTCATGATTTGCCTCCATCGATCCTACTCATCGACTTTTGGGTGACGTCTTCAATCTCAAGCCTTTCCAGGTATGCTGATGCCGCGTTCAAAACAACTGGGAACTCGGAAAAAAACGAGTTCCGACTGGGAAAAAATCGTTTTGAACGTTCATACAACACTCGGAATTCCAAGTCGGGAACTCAAACCTCTTTCTACAGCTCCAACTTTCCGACCTGAAGATCACTGACGTCAGGATTTGACCACGTTTCTTCCGAGTTCCCAGTTGTCGTGAAAGCCTCAGGTTTAATGGATCCTTGGCACAGTATCATAATGACATCACAGCACTGCCGCACGTGAACTGTAGGCTATCTAAATATATTCATTTTTTTCAATCTGGATGTAGGCCTATCGGTCTATTTAAAAATATATATATATATATGCGCCTTGGGTCTGAAAAAAGTGCTTTACAAATTAAATGAATTATTATTATTATTATAGGTTTAGCCAAGGGCTACTTATGAGATCAATATGGTCAATGTCTGATCATTAATGGGATAACTTCATTAGATTCAAAAGCGATCCTCACAGATGGAAAATGTAGCCTATTCCATTATATTCTCTTCTATCAGTTGCTGTTTGTGTATTATACTTATTGGCATATGCATTTATTTATTATAATCTACAGGTATGAAATGTGTGTATGATGGATTGGTTATTATTGTGAAGGAAATCAAATGTCAAATAATGAACCTGGCATCCGAGTGCAAAAAAATATTTCTGTATTGTAAAATCATCTCACAATAAGAATAAACCATTTTGGAACAATGTAAGCATAAGATAAAAAGTACATTTAACTGTAAATTAAGTAAACAGAGCACAAACAACAGTGACAGCCAATTTAATTAATCAAGCTTTGTGTAAAATGTGAAACATGGTTTTGGCACCTGTTGTCCAACCTCACAAAAAATACAATTGTACATCAGTTGACTACCTTTCTTTCTAAAAACATTTCTCCTTCCAAGCAAAGTTAAATCTTAGAAGTTTACACAAAATATTTTTTTATATATATATTTTGTTTATATTCAAACCATTGCTGGATTCTTTGGGGAAAAATGGACCATGGACCTCCAGCCATGTACATACACATTACATCATCTTTAGGAATGGAAAACTCATTCTGTCTGCCACCATGTAACTGTGTCACATCAAAGTGGTCTTGCTCAGCATCATTATTTTCAATCAGGCATACACCACTTGGGCACACTAACTAGAGGAAGATAGAGTGCTCTATACCACATGGGGGTGGGTGGGGCAGGCAGCTCCATACTGCTCCACAGTCATTCTTTTTGTCCCTCTCCCCCCTCCCTCACTGGGTGGTTTGTCCCATCAGAGGTTTTTACAGCAGGGCTTCTTCTCTTCAGGGTCGCCTGCAGCTCTGGGGATGGGGCTGGCCAGAGACACGGCACTAATGGACCCCCGGGTCACCTCTTTACTGCTCACCTTCCTGTGGATCTCTGATGGAAGAGGCACAGGGATACAGCATGAATTCTGGTGCAACAAACAGTGACAAAAAACCCTTCACCGCAAACTGCCAGTGACACAACTGCTTACACAAAACAATAAATGTGGCACCAGGATTTTGTTCTGCAATGCCAACTTTTCACTCAGTTTTACTGATGAATTACTGAGCATTGATTGCACTACTATTACACCAGCATAACACGGTTAGCTAAAGAGCTAAAAACAAACAAATCAATAATAGTACTGTAATATATAAAAGTCCATTACCTCCAAGGACATTGTGGAATGCCGTCTCAACGTTTGTGGACTCCAAGGCTGATGTCTCTAAGAACAATAGGCCATTCTTTTCTGCGTAGTGAGAGAGGTAGTGTTACAAATCTGGGGTGAAATACTGCCTCAAGCCCAGTGCTTGACTTGGACTGAAATAGGTTCCGGTACTCATTTTGGGTGCCGGTACTGTTTATATTTAGATGCAGGGGCTCATCAATACTTTTGAGCTAATATTCTATAAGACGGACAGCAGCTCAAGCAGTAGAACATTTGAGGTGCCGGTACTCAGCTCCCAAGTCAAGCACTGCTCAAGCCACAAGTTTGGACCAATAAAGGCTATTGGCCGATTGGCTGTTGTGAATATTAGCATATTTGCAATGCAAAACCACAATTCATTATATAAGGGAACAACATTTGGAAGTTATATGCTTTGTTCAATTTATTATGTTTATTACAATGGAGTCATTGTTATTATCCTAGGATATATTCATGGTGCCAGAGTCTTGGCAGCTGTACCTGCAAAGTCCTTGGCCTCCTCAGTTGGCACTGATCGCTCTGAACCCCAGATCAGTTTTGTTGCCCACCAGCATGACTACGATGTGAGGGTCTGCATGGTCATAGAGCTCCTTCAGCCAGCGCTCCACACTCTCATAGGTCAGATGCTTGGTGATGTCATAGACCAGTAGCGCTCCGACAGCTCCTCTATAATAACTAGTGAGAAAATATGAAAGCGAAAGAGGTGGTGAGATAAGTCAACACCTTACCCGTAACCTGATGTTTTTATTCATATTGATACAGTATGTGATGGGTGTTGCCTCTGAGCATCCATATCCCATTTTTCTCTTGAAATGCCATGTAGGCCTCCATAGTATGATACATTGAACCGACAAAAACCATTATTATATAGACTTGGGTTTTGATTGCAGAAAGACATTTATAGGGAAGGAACATTTGCATGAGGGAATTATTCAGTGAAGTAATTACTCAACTCTGGACAGAGAAGAACTAATCCTGCTGGGGTATAGCATATCCTCAGATTTTCCATGTCATTAAATTGAATGGACATGTTTTTATTGTTTTGAAACGTGTTTCCATGCAATTAACCCTTCCAGAGTCTTTACAAAAGAACAAGTCAGGAATTTCTTAAGCCAGAGAAGAAACATGTTTGGGTCTGGATGTTTATTGAATATGTCCAGCCAAATGGATATTTAGACCAAAATGCACAAGTAGTAAATGACTGAAACAGTGAACCTGCTGTTTGTTCCTCCAGGCTATCTGGGCAAAATGTGAAACCAGTCCCTGTTCACATGGAGTGTTTGGGCCTATAATACCACCCAAGATACCCACACAATAGTGAGAAATTGTCATTTTGTGTGTGTGTGTGTGTGTGTACGTTGGTCCACAGTTTCAACCCAGATTACTAACGCGGAGGTGATGGCCCTGTACCGCTCCAGCCCAGCCGTGTCCCAGATTTGAGCCTTGATGATGAGACCTTTCAGCTGAATTGTACGTGTGCTGAACTCCACCCCGATGGTGGTGCGGCTGTCGTGGTTGAACTCGTTCTTGGTGAAGCGGGAGAGCAGGTTGCTCTTGCCAACACCGGACTCACCTATCAGAACCACTGGAGAAGATGGAAAGGGGAGAGCAGGGCGTGAGTTCAAGTAAACCAGAAAGATGCTCGAATATGTGGTTTACATCCCCAGTGAGTCCCTATTATGTGAATGAATGGTATGTCTATCATTTAGGAAGGGGACTAGGTGTGTTTCATCCTAGACATAGACCACTTTAATTTGCCTTAGTGCAGTTGCACATAGTATCAGGTGTAGAACCTCAAGGTGCCATTTCAGGGCACAACACATTTACAATTACAATAATGAGAGTAAGTAATGGATTTTACACACAAAAACAATGATTATTCAATGTATCTCTTTCTTCACTGTTATAATCTCACTCATGTCATCCCGTTGATTAACACCAACTCATAACTACAATAAGGCTGCTCCCTGAACATAGCGTAACTCTTAGGTGAGGCCTAGGTGTGTCCTCAAACAGCCCACTCAATTTCACTAACCTTACCCTAAACCCTCAATCTTAGTCTACTGCTCATTGTTCCCATTATATCATTAGGAATCTCTCCACAATGGTGTTCTATGACAGAAACAGCACCACACCCGTGCAAATGGTTACTGGGCTAATTATGTTAAGTGAGGAATGTAGAACAAACCATCTGAGAAGTAGCATCAAAATCATGGGCTCAGGTGTCTTTAAAATGAATTATCATGCTTGTTCGTGTTAATTATCATCTAGGAAATGGGAGCTAATATGTAATTATTATGCTCTGTAGGTTAAGAGATATGTACAGTAATGAGAGGTCAGTTGTTGAAGAGAACCAAAGGAGAACCAGAGAGGATGGCATGTATTGCATTGCTCTTGGGGAATTTCCTGTAATGAAACAGGCCTTCAAAAGAGGAAGCAACTAAAAAAATAATGTGGTACAGTTTACACTGATACTTCCCTCTATCTATCTTGCTGTGAGCAATCAGTCTACTGAGTCCAAACAGAAGAGGTACAAGGAACAATGAAGCCCCCCTGTATGTTTCAGTGACTCATGTGTTTGCTTCTAGGAGTGTGAGCAGCTGACACAGAAAGCCAGCCTTGGCCTACTTGACAAACATATAGGAAAATATGACCACAAGACGCAATGACACCATGATTTCAATACAGCCGACTGAGCTGAGCCAAACACAAATTCCTGCTTTACTCTCAACCATGAGAATGTGAGCAGAACCAAGATAGGCATCCAAGTTCCATGGCACACCAGCAAGGAAGTTCTAAGAAGTACCCAGGAAACTAAGAATGTGATAAAGAGCAGGTCAAAAAAAGAGAATGACATGTTTATTTAGTACGGTCACCTAATACATATTCTATTTATTGCACTCCAAACCATAAGTGGAGATAAGATAGGCACATATTATCTTCCATGCATGCTGATTTATGCTACAGCAGAGCTTTTAACAGGCAATAAGCTATTTGTCAAAAGCAAAAATGTTGGGGTCATGCCTGTTCATGTTCCCAGATTTACATTCTAAAGCAACTATCCAGTTTCTGGTCTCCGAATCCAGTTTAGATTTAACCCGAAGTGTAAAACAGGCAGCAGGAAAGAATGTTTACGAGATGTTCTACTTTGGTTTGTTTTGGGTAATTGTTCACTCCATTGGCAGATCATTGTTCTGCTTTTTATTAGGTGAGATGAAAATGTGGCCATTTCCCCTCCTCCCATACTCAGTAACCTCTTATGCAAACAATACCCCTGGTTTCCATGGTTTATAGGACAAGAGGCCTTGAAGCACTCTACTGCCCTGTTTGACTTTGTTCTGAGGAAAAAGGGGATTAAGTAAGTTATGGAAAAAACTCCCCCTCATTTAATAATAATTCAGTTTTACTTCAATTGATTTATGACTGAGCAGTTCCCTCACCTTATTTACATATAAAATCTGCATTTACTTTTAGACAATCAAAGCAGGGAATAATTTAGATTTTACTTCATGATGTCTGGATGGTTTAAAAAATAAAGTTATAGTAGAATTAGGCCTAGTCCTTACATGTGGATCAGTGAAAGCACACTAAAAATTTGACTTCATCACCTACTGGCCCAACCAACTGGGATTTCTTTTTTCCCTATCGACAAATCACTTCACCTCATCATGCACAACATCACCTCCTCTACCACGCCTGTATCGTATAGGACTTTGTTAGTAGGTCATGCAGTGTAACAGTACACATGCTTCTCTCATGTGACTATAGACATAATGGAAAGAGTGATAGGATCAAATATTCAGGAATGTGTGTTTGCCTGGAATAATATTGATAAGCTTGTGAAACTCACCACAATAACAATTGGAGGTCGAGAATGTATTCAGTTACATAGAGAAATAGAATTCAAGTTCATAGAAATAGCAACATTCTTGAAGTAGCACCGTCTTGACTAAAATACCAACAGCAGCTTATTAATGAACCTCAAGGTTAGAGGCATTCTTAAAAGTACTGGATAAATCTCCTAGACCTGGGCCCGTATCCACAAAGCATCTCAGAGTGGGAGTGCTGATCTAGAATCTCTCCATACAGTCTTATTCATTATGACCTAAAAGGCTACACTGATCCTAGATCAGCACTCCTACTCTGAGATGCTTTGTGGATACGGGCCCTGTACTACAAATGGCGTAAACATAATTGGCAATATTTCCTATGACTGTATACACTATGCAAGGCAACTTGCTTCCGAAACAGGGTGTATCCACACTAGACTTTGTCTGTAATTTCAACACAGGTGAGAGTGACCTGCATCCTATCTGTGTGGTAGATGTGTTACTAACAGTATACTGTGTGCGGTTGATACTGTACTGGCACTTAGCTTCTAGCTTCAGCATACAGACTAAATGACAGAACCCAATGGTTGTCTGTACTGAACAACACTGCGCTAGCTCTAACAATAGAAAAAGTAGGTTTCAGAGTCATTCTTACAATATAAAACTCTGTTGACATATACATTACATCATTATTGTGGCTCAGTTGGTAGAGCATGGCGCTTGCAACGCCAGGGTTGTGGGTTTCGATTCCCATGGGGGACCAATAAGAAAAAAAGTCTGAAAATGTATGCACTCACTACTGGATAAGAGCATCTGCTAAATGATGTAAATGTAAGCCAAAAATCAGTTAAAGAACAAGGACTCACCCTTAAAGACAAAGTTGTAGGCCTCATCTGAACCCATGATGTACCCCTTCAGTGGTGCCACAATGTGAAGCCTTGTCTTCAAGTCCAGCTCTCAAAGTGTGAGGGGAAAAAGTAAAGATGACACTGGCTCAGAAGCCACTCACCCTAACCTTCAGATTTAAAAGAGGAAAAGGAGCCACACAAGTAGGTTGTTTTAAACACTTTGCAAGTCGCCTGTCCCCCTCTATGTTTAATAGAAACTTAGATTGTTTACAAGGAACTGGCTCCGCTGTGTCATCAGGTAGTTTTGCTGAGGAATGATGGGAGTTGGGGGAGTGGCTTGGTGTTAGTCCATGGCAGGTTGAACAGGTGGGACAACCGCATGAGCAACTGTATGAAAAAGAAACAGCTACACACCACCTGCTGGACAAACCAAATTATTGTCTTCAGGAAATTACTTGTTTCCCTATCCCTTTTTCATGGCAAGAGACAATCATTGCTTCATCTGAGGTGTATTCACTAGGAACCAAACAGAAGCAAACTGAAAAAAACAGGGCGGGACCTACCTGTCAAATAGAAAAACATTTTCGTTGTAAAACTGTTTCCATTGCAAAACGTTTTGCTACGGTATGTGAGTAATGAATAAACCCCCGGTTCTGTTCATCTCAAACCAGGAACACATAGCAACAGTAAATGGGAGGTTTGAATGGTCAAACACAAATATATATCAGTAAGAACAATACTGTCAAACAATTGACAGTGGTCTAAGGCACTGCAACGCAGTGCTAGCTGTGCCACTAGAGATCCTGGTTCGAATCCAGGCTCTGTCGTAGCCGGCCGCGACCGGGAGACCCATGGGGCGGCGCACAATTGGCCCAGTGTCGTCCAGGGTATGGGGAGGGAATGGCCGGCAGGGATGTAGCTCAGTTGGTAGAGCATGGCGTTTGCAACGCCAGTGTTGTGGGTTCAATTCCCACGGGGGGCCAGTGTGAAAAATAAAAAAATAATGTATGCACTCACTAACTGTAAGTTGCTCTGGATAAGAGCGTCTGCTAAATGACTCAAATGTAAATGTAAAAAATGTGGTGATGAAATCTTAGGTCAGTTCAGCAAACCTGTAATATGTCAGTTCTGCAAAAAAATACTCTGCACCAAAAATTATAATTTATGAATCAAATACATAAAACAATTTCATATATTTGTGAAGACAAAAATAAAACATATCTTTCTTGATTTTTCAATGGGGAAAAAACAGGCTAGCCATAAACCTGTTACAAAAGGATATGATACATTTTATTGCGTGGCAGCAACAGACAAATGTACGATTCTGACAAGGGTAAACAGTGAATGCCTTAAAGTTAATGTGTCAGCATTTTCAGCCGTTGGGAAAGAAGTACTCTTACAGGCAGCGAAATTCATTGAAGATTTACATTGCCAGCCCCACACAATGTGTGAGCTTGACTTTTGGTTGACATTACATTTACATTTAAGTCATTTAGCAGACGCTCTTATCCAGAGCGACTTACAAATTAGAACTGCATGCCACAAAAGGCCAAATTACTAAAAACTCAAGCATTAAGTTAGAGCATATTGAGTATAAATATAGTAATCACAACATAAATACTCTGTTCATTCATACACAGACTGTGGTGGTTAATGAAGACCAGGTGAAGCCTTCACATATGCAACAAGAGTTCATGTATTTTCAGGGGGGCCAAAATTTAACACAACACTCCAGCCAGACTTCCCCTATGATGCAGCAACTTGGGTTAAAGGTTCCTCCAGGTACAGTACCAGCGCTTCAGCCTAAAAAATACCACACAGACAGGAGAAATATGCTTAGTGTGGTATGCAGACATGGTCTGTGCTCATGGCTCTTTAAAGGACAGACATGCTTGGTCTCTTCCGGAATTAGTCAATAGTGTTTTGTAGTTTCAAATACAGCACCTCACAACACAATTCGTACACCAATGCCATCCGCACTCAAAGTATTCCTCCTCACCTTGGCTTTAAGCATTCCAAAGCCCACAGTCTCTTTGGCATACATGCACAGGAGTAGGTTAGCTACCCGTGTGATGGCCACCCTGCCTTCCTGCAAAGAGAAGATAAAAAAGGAATTGATAAAAATGCATGCACATTATATTTCAATTGACCTTTGATGGTAATACAACTTGCCAAGGTGCCAACTAGCCTAGGTCATTTTCTACCACTTTTTAACTGACGTTATAGGGCATACAACAGATTTTCTCTGGAGCCTCTGGTGACTGTGATACTCAATGGATAACCAATGTAAGGCAGAATGATGTAACAAACATTTGGTTCATGCATAGTAACTAGACAATATAGTCCAAGCTCTCTAACCATGCAATCCATCAGAATAAATTTGAGTTTGTCTTCGTTGAAAGCTTGATGCCCATTCTTGTCATAGGCCGCCCAGATGTTGCTTGCGATTGCAGCGGTCACTCGAGCGTCAGTGTCCCCATAGCCAGAGTAAGCCAAAAGAGACCCCTCATTGTTTAACAATCTGCGGGGAGAACATGTAAATACGTTAGCCAGGCAGAGTGTTAGCTAAGACTTACCTACATGTAGGTAGCTGTCGTTACAAGTCTTCTTAAGAACAACTCATTAGCTAACTTAGCTAGCTAGCAGAAAATAACGCTATATTCACGTGCCTCTGCCACTAGATACTTACAGTGTGCTTTGTACCCCGCTTGTATTTGCCTGGCTGAGAACTTGCGTCAACGCTTTTGGCCGCAACATGGTTGGAGTGAGCAATACTTCGCAGCAACTCGATTAATTTAGACGAAATTATCAAGAAGTGTATCTTATCATCCAGTTCAGTGACTTCTTCAACAACAACACAACCGCAATCCAGTCAGCTGACTCTTCTTCTTCTTCGGTGGGGTTTATCGGCGGTTGGCATCCAACGTTATGGTGCATTACCGCTCCCTACTGTACTGGAGTGTGGGCCAGAGACGGGGAGAAACTAAATCCAACCTGCCAGCCCAGTTGCTATTAAAAAATATAACATATTTGACTATATCTAATGAAGTTCTACTCAATATACTCTTTAAACTAATTTCCTGTATCCCTTTCTCCGTCATACTAGATCTCAGCATCTTTCTTTCCCTCTGATACTGCCCACATGGTAGCAATACATGCTCCACGGTCTTTGTTTCCTGGCAATAATCACACTTTCCGGTTAGATGCTTTCCTATCACATTTAAAGTCTTGTTCAACCGGCTGTGTCCCACCCTTAATCTTGTAAAAAATAGCCTCCTCTCTTCTGTCCCTTCCTGATGTCCTCCCCTCCGCGACTTTCCTCTGTACTTGAAATAAATGGCTGTTAAGGGCTTGTAAGTAAGCATTTCACGGTAAGGTCTACACCTGTTGTATTCGGCGCATGTGACAAATATTCCACTGCTCCTGCCATCTCTGCACCATCACTGCCCATATCAGGCTTTTTGCCTCTGACTTGCTCATTAAAACTACAACATTCCCACTACTAAGTGCTTGTTTAGCCAGTACATCAACTGCCTTGTCCCCCTCCACCCCAACATGGGCTGGGACCCAAGTAAATATTATCTGTATACCCATCTGTCTAATCCTGCAATGGGTTTGTAGTACTTTATAAAGCAGGTCTTGTCTGCTATGTGAGCTAAAGGACTGCAGACAAATCAACACTGCACATTAATCAGAAAAAATAACTACTCTGTTTGTCTTGACTTCCTCCACCAACTGCAAGGCCAACAGTATGGCCATCAGCTCCGCCGTATATACAGCCAGATGATCTGTAATACGTTTTGTGACTGCCACTCCACATTCCTGCACTACAAACGCTGACCCAGTACGTCCTGTCCTTGAATCTTTTGAACCATCTGTGTAAATGGCCACAAAATCCTGATACACAGTATCCAGACGTCTATTTAACAAATCAGATGGATCAACACCTTCCCTATCTTTCTGTAGTCTCTCCAACACTTTTAGATCAACTACTGGAGGCGGGAGTAGCCATGGTGGATTTACAGGAATAGCTACCGTTGGACTAAACTCCCTTCCATACAGTCCCATCTCCTTCGCCTGGGTATTACCCACCCACCCCAAGCTTGTGTTCTGTCCTCACTCATGTTTCCAGCATGGCTGGCTGTAAAATCCCTTTCGCAGGATGAGACACCCCATGTCCCTGTAGGTTGACCCAATAATTCATTGCCAGCTGCTGTCTCCTAATCTGCAATGGCATACCCCCCATCTCCACCTGTAGTGCAGCCACTGGGGAGGTCCGAAACGCCCCACTACATATTCTGAGTCCTTGCCCCTGTATGACATCTAGCCTTTCCAGTGAGGTTCGGGCTGCCGAACCATATGCTATACTGCCATAGTCTATTACAGATCGGATCAATGCAACATACATGGTCCTCAATGAGGAACGCCCAGCCCCCAACTCCTTCCCCGTTAGACAGTGCATCACATTTAGCACCTTCTTACACTTTCCCACCACTGTTTTAATGTGTTCTGCTCAGGTCAGTCTAGTGTCAAAGTATACCCCAAGGAACCTGAAGGACCCCACCCTCTCCAAGTTTTTTTTTCCATATAACCTCAAGCATACCTCATATCCCACCTTCCTCCTGGTAAAGAACACTGCGTTTTCTCTACAGAGAACCTGAATCCTCACATTAACGCCCACCGCTCTACCGCATCAATTGCTTCCTGTACCTTCCTGACTATCGATGGCACATTTCTTCCCCTCTTCCGTAAAGCCCCATCATCTGCAAATAACGACCTCCCAATTTCCGGCCGTAACTGAGAGTAAACATAATTGATCATAATTGAGAACAGAGGACTAATCACGCTCCCCTGCGGTGAACCGTTATCCACCAGGTAGCTGCCTGATAGTCTTCCCCACCCTCACCTGGATAGACCTTCCAAACAGGGATGTGAAGTCAGCTGACTCCTTCAACTTCCTAATACAAATCATAATGCATTATGAGAATGGCACTGGCAGTGGGTTCCAGACCATTGAAACCAGTCACTGGAATAATATATATATATATTCAAAGTACACCAATTCTGCGCCAATTATAGTATTGATATCCCTTTCATGTTGCTCCTGAGATGTTAAACACTTGTCAGAGTAAAGGGACTGGGGGAGAATCTGTGTTAGAAGAACAGAGTTAGCTGCAGTTATTGAACAAAGGCACAAGATGGTATATCTAGGGCACAAAATGGCATATATCCCCATATTTCCAGACATGGGATTCCAACCAGTTAAAAGTTCTTAATAACTACCCCAAGTAAACTCTTTGCGGTAGGCCCGGATTAGTCTAACAATTGCATTGCTTTCAACTTCACAGCCCAAGCATAATTGATGAGACTGAACTAGCCCCAGTCATTTCTTTATAACTTACACAGCTTTCTTTTAGCCATAAATTTAAACCAGGATCTTCAAAGTTATATGAAATGATCATAAATTGAAGATCTAAGAAATCCATGCTTATTATACATTTTGTCATCATGGAGGAAAATGAAGGAATCCAAGCTCCACTCTGGTGGATGTTAAAACAGCTTAATGCTTAATTGCCATTAAGATACTTCAATGTTTATTACAGTTCACAATTTATATTTTCAAGCTTGGTCCTTTAATACTCTACCAAGTATGCATGGTCACCACTATAACTTTCCCACCTCTCAGACTACACACAACAATTCCCATACAAGTTGAACAAATCATCCATATCAAGTTCATATAACTTCATAACATACACAATGTAGACTAGTGTTCATCACGCCTGGTCCTAGAGGGTTGCAGTCAGTGTGAACAGGCTTAGTCTATGTCTACAACACCAACTACTCATCAAGAATAGCTGAATCACATTTGTTTGTGCTGGGTTTGCACGCAATTCCTGTTTTCTTTGCCAAAAGGGTGCGGATTGGTGTAAGCATGGGCTAAATGGAGTTTCCACCACATTTCTCAATGTAGTCCAGTGCTTTTAAATCTGAGGTGGTGAACAAGTGTGCATTTTGAGAAGGATTGAGAATCTGAATTCAGCATAGGACATAGGGTGGATCCCTCCAGGATCAGGAGTGAAGACTACTGGTGTAGACCATGCTTCTGAACTAAAAGAATCACCACCACACACTTGATCACATTTCTTGAAAGGTATTATTAGAATAGATAACAGAGTGAAGGGACTCCAAGAAAAAGGCAGAGCTGAACAGATGTTCTTTAACTGTAGGTACTACAACTAATACGTATGGGTTTAACAAAAACAATATATGCCCTTAGTACACTTTTTGTTACTATTGATTTCACAAATGATTTGAATATATTGCTGAACCCAACACATACATTTTTATCAGGCACTACACCACTGCTTGTATGAAAAAACACAAAATGGTTAATGTAAAAGGTGTCTGCTTTTTTTTAATCATTGCTCAGATTAAAAACATTGAGGTCTTATCACTTAACCCATAAATCAGAGCCTAAACTGTAGAATAATTTACGCTCAATAGCATTCATTGACTCAATGTAGCTTTGACTGCAGAGCTCACCAGCTACCTTGCTTGACCTTCCATTCTGAAAAACATCCCTTCCAAAAAAGCTGAAAGTGTAAGCAAACAGCTGAACCAGGGGCGCTATAGTGCTCAAACTGAGAATCCAACAGCCTATCTGTTTTGAAGGAACACGTCAAATGTCAAGAAATTCTTCAAGCAGAAGGTAAGTTGAAGATGAGTGATAAAGAAAAGAGAACGTAACTTCTACAGCTCTTGTAATAAATACTAGTCAATCAGGCATTATAGAGTGAAATTAAGTAAAAACAAGCAGGTTCTCATGACAATGAAAGAATTAGGGATTCCTCTGACCTATGATTTCAACACTCATATTCCTCCAAATGTCAACTTGTTACCAGCTAAACACAATCCATTAGGATGAGTCAATTCGGCAACCTCATGCATGTCCAGCAAATGGGCACAGTCATTTCGGAAAGAATCTCCCGTAGTCAACAGAGGAAGTAGTGGTGTTAGTGGTGGTGTCATTTTGCAGCGATGTCATCATTCCACAGGGTTGATATGAGATCTTTCCAATAGAAACTTGAATCTGCACACCCACATCCCTCTCCTTCCCGCCTTCTTATCTTTCCTATGATTCACAGATCAGCCAAAGAGATGAATAGTAATTGGAATTCAATTGAGTCTATCTGAGGGGCTTGTCAGACTGTGTGATGAAGGACTGTGTTCATTTGTAATCTCCCACTCCAGCCCTCACCCCCCCCCCCCCCCTCCCACCTAACCTCTCTCCCAGTAATCTCAGGGGGCTAAGGGAGTTAGGAGGGCTGGGAGCCCAGCAGTCTCTCAATGGCAGCGTTGATGTCTCCCCCCGTGGCGATGAGGGCCTGCAGGTTGGCCTCGCGGTTGATGAAGCCCATGGCGCTGAGCTGGTCCAGCTGCTGCTGAAACCGCACCTCCGGGGTTACGGTTTGGGTCTGCAAAGGGGAGCATAGCCAAAGTCATTTTTTAGATGAACCTGCATGGAAAATGTTGCTGGGGTCCTATTTGAGTGACTGTTAGGAGACAAGTCTCACTTCCAGTATTCATTGGCTTTAGGTCAATAAAGTCAGTAGAAACACAAAGCTAATGCTAACCCACTGGACAACAGCAAAGTATAGTTACCAAGTAGAAAGTCAAAACTTACCGATGAGCCGCCGCCTCCTCCAGCAAACATCTGTAACATCTGCTGCATGAGCTGCTGCTGTTGCTGGGATGGGTTGGTGGCAGCGGTGGGATTTGAGCCCTGTGTTGGGGGAGGAAGGTTTTCTGGGGCCACACTGCCTCCTGTGGTTGGAGGAATCACTGGGATCCCACCAGGAGCCAAACTAGGAGAAGAATCACAGTTTAAGTGGCATGATAATCATCAATAAAATCAAAGGTATAAAGCACGAGTCTGGCCAGTAAGCATCTACTGGATAACAGATGGTACAGTACCTGGGCATGAGTCCGGGGGCTTCCGTTTGTAGGGTCTGCAGGCCCTGCTGGATCTGCATGAGAGCCTGCATGGCCCGGGGGTTAGTCATCACGGACAGTGACTCAGGATTCTGCATCTGTAAGATAACCATCTAGTTGGTTAATCCAAATTGTGTTCCATTTAGTCACAACAGTCAGAAACTCAATGCCTTCCATAACAAGAAAAAAATAAAGATGACAGTGTTATCAGTATGTGGAACTAAAATGTATAACTGGAGACAGAAATCGGACCTGTTGGAGAAAGACCGGCATCTGATGTCTCAACTGCTCCTGTAACTGGGGGTTTCCGGCAAAGAGGGGGTTGTTCAGCATTGCCTGAGGGAATGAGTAAAGGATTAAGCAATGATTCTACTCTTCACACAAAATAGCCTAGAATATTCCATTTATCAGTAGGATTCAGGACTTCTGTTTCTTTCAATAAGCAGAGAGGGCTGAAGTTGTGCAGACCTGTGAGGCAAGGTCGGGGTTCTGCGCCAGCGACTGCATCATACTGCGCATGTAGGGTGCAGACAGCATGTTCTGCATCAACTGGGGGTTCTCGGAGATCTGCTGCATCAGACTATGCATGCCAGGGCTACCGAACCCACCTGGACAGATTATAGGGAGTGGAGTGAGAGAAACAGACCAAGGATCAGCTAAGCAGGAAAACAAGGGTTATACTTAAGGTTGGTTTGTTAATACAGGTGTAAGGGGAAATATAGTTTTGCAGATTGACTAAAAGGTGAAAGTTCTTCTGAGGTAGTTTTATTACCGTTGCCCAGCCCAGAGGCGTTGATGCCCAGGGGGTTGGAGGCACTGGGTGCAGTCCCGCCAGCGGAGGAGGTTGTTGTTGTTGTTGTCGTGGAGGCGCCAGTCCCCCTGCTCTCTGAGGGGGTCGTTCCAGGGGGTCCCCAGGGGTTTGGTAAGGGCTCCCTGTTCTCTGTTCTGGAGGGCTGCACGCCAGAGTCCAAGTTGCCCCCCAAAGCAGAGAAGGGATTGTTTCCAAACTATGGATGGAAGAAAAGTGGACTAAGTCACAACCTGACTTGATTCAAGATGATTGTATTTCTACATATGGTATTCGCAGGAATAATAGCTACCTGCTCTCTAGCGGCACTGAACATAGGCTCCTGGATGTCTGTGTACATCCTCCGGAGGGCGTTGTAGCCCCCAGGGATGCTCTCCAGGTTGCTAAGCGCCCGGTCCTGGTTACGCATCATCTCTTGCATCATGGCTGGGTTCCTTGCCAACTCCATGGTCTGAAGAGAGGAAGGGAGTTAACGTTATGCATCTGTGCAAGAGCCTCCTCACATCCATTCCTCCCAACGTTTTGGGAGTGGTGCGGTCTAGTTTAAGGGTTTGAGCCTATGTACATTTGCCCTGTTACATAGGCCCCTTTTTACATTTAAACTACATTGCAAGCTAACTACATAAACAAGCAAAATGGATCTAAGTAATGTGCTCTTCAAGCGTAGGTTCTTTTAGACTGATTAAATAAAGACAAGACACACAATGATTCCCCAGAACCAAGCCTATGACACCTCTAGCAAAGGACCCATCTGAGCTCCAGACCTGTCTCATGAGCTCAGGGTTGTTGAGCATGTGGGAGATCTCAGGATTGCGCTCCATCAGCTGCTGCATCTGAGGGTTGGTCACGATCATCTGCCTCATCAGGTCTGGGTTGGACATCATGTTCTGCACCAGAGGGTTGTCCATGATCTGAGACAGCATCTCCGGGTTGGACATCAGCTGTCTCTGCATCTGCTGCTGCATCTCCATGAAGTTGGCCGAGCCCATGCCCATGCCTGACAGGTTAGATAGGTCACCAAACCCACCTATGCAGACACAAGGGGGCGGTGGATTAATGGCAGGATATACGTTAGTGCCTAGTTGTGTGGATGTTGAGTAGTTGTATGGCAATATGGCCATCTTTCTGTGAGACTGTTTAGTGGGGACTGGGTCACTAACTCAGTAAGTTGGGTGGCTGTGTGGAGGCTGGGGTAGGCCCAGTGCCTGGTGTTGTGCTGGCATTGGGCGCTGGGCTGGGGTTGACGCTGCTGTTGGCCTGGGGGTTCCCAGAGCTGGATGCTGAGGCCTGGGATGTGCCACCACCTGTGGCCCTGGATAAAAAGCGAGGTCATCAACAACCTAAATGTTCCTATTATCACACACACACAAAATCTTGTAACAAGAATAGTGGGCAAGAAATGGTAGAGAACCAACATCTTCTTACTTGGGAGCAGTCTTGATGACAAGGTGAACAGTGAGTCCGTCCTTGATGCCGTGTTGGTTCAGTGTGTCCCCATCCTTTAAGATTTTGCCAGCAAAAATCAACACCAGCTGGTCCTGCTTGGCATTAAACCTTTTGGATATCGCCTCTTTAAACTGTATGCACGAGACAGAATGAAGTGGCCGGTGAAGACACATGGGAATAAAGAGGATAGATACACATCCAAATGATTCAGTCTTGGAAAAAAAAAGTTATCTTGACTTAGCTATCTCGACAGTTAACGTTAGCTAGCTAACTATGTGAATCTGCTAGCTGACGCTTTAAGTTTTATAAGGACCATGAAGCCAAATGTTAATGGTTTAGGAAGTCACCAAATACAGCATTAACCATGTCGCTAGCCGTAAGATTACGATCAGTTTCCCGATTGGCTTTCGCAATGGCCGGGTACTCCGTTGGCTAGCCGGTTATCAGCTAGCCTGATCGCGGCTAACGTTAGTTAGCTATATGAGCCTGACAGCGACAAACGTAACTGTCTCGTTTGCTGGCTCACAAGCTAACGTTAGCTAGTTACGTAGTTAGCTAACTCATGCTTCCTATAATATGTCTTTACACAGTACCGATTATGTACGAAAACACAAGTCAACTACTATTAGGAACCTATTTTCAAGGAAATGGACAAGCTGAAAAGAAATATTACTAGTCGGGAAATTGGGATAATTCTCCCACCTAACGTCGTAAACTAGCTAGCTACTAGTTAGCTAGCTAACTTCGATTTATGCTTGTTAGCCACAGCATGACTTGCATAACTGAATGTAGATATAAATGCGAATACCTGTGCGACAGAAGAATCCTCCGAGATCGCTATCTCCTCTTTATCTTTCGGAGTTTTTACCGTGACCACGATCATGGTCCCGTCTGAGGCAGCATTTTCAACAACGTTGGAATCCACAGTGGGATCTGTGCCGCTGTTCTCCGCCATCTTTACTCCTCTTCAAATTCACTACATCCAGAGAGGAAGAGGAGAAGCGAGAGGTTTTACTCAGCCCAAAATGTGTCCACGAAAATAAGATTGGTCAACATAAATTTGTATTTTTTATTTGCTATGTGAGGATTATTTGATCAAATATAAGTTTCGTAATGGTGTACGGACGTGGCATTTCAGCAACTTTGGAAAAAAAACTACTTTACATCGGAGTTGTGCCTGTGGTCATAGAGATAGAGGACTCATCATATACACGTTCAAACATGGACATTGCCATTGAGGGTTTCCACCATTAAAGCGGTCAACTGGGTGGGGATTCCTATGAGTTGGGAGCAATCAGCCGATGAAGAAGAAGGGCATTTACTACTTTTAAATGGAGATAGCCTCAAAGGTGCTGCCCATGCTGTCACAGACGTTATAATGGCACATACACAAATATGAGTCCTCTATCTATCTCTATGACCTGTTGTTCACACTCGTATCGGCCCTTTCATTGGCTAGAATGGTTCCACCTGCTCTCGCCTCCTCCCGCCCGCGAATTTTGAGGACATGTATTTCCATTGTTATAGCGGTCACTTTACTATCTTGTCAATATAATAAACAATCTTTGCTACATCACAAAACGACCTAACAAGACTCTCAAGCTGAGATAAAAGCAGTATTACCTGAGGTTTTTGGAACGTTGACGTCTAGTGGTGTGGGGGTGTCATTGCATTTGACCAAAATGTATGTGTGCTACTCAATGATGTACAGTACCATTCAAAAGTTTGGACACACCTACTCATTCAAAGGTTTTTCTTTATTTTAACTATTTTCTACATTGTAGAATAATAGTGAAGACATCAAAACTATGAAATAACACATATGGAATCATGTAGTAACCAAAAGTGTTAAACAAATCAAAATATGTATTTGATATTTGATATTCTTCAAAGTAGCCACCCTTTGCCTTGATGACAGCTTTGCACGCTCTTGGCATTCTCTCAACCAGCTTCACCTGGAATGCTTTTCCAACAGTCTTGAAGGAGTTCCACATATGCTGAGCACTTGTTGGCTGCTTTTCCAGCACCCCATCACTCTCATTCTTGGTCAAATAGCCCTTACACAGCCTGGAGGTGTGTTGGGTCATTGTTCTGTTAAAAACAAATGATAGTCCCACTAAGCCCAAACCAGATGGGATGGCGTATCGCTGCAGAATGCTGTGGTAGCCATGCTGGTTATGTGTGCCTTGAATTCTAAACAAATCACAGACAGAGTCACCAGCAAAGCACCCCCACACCATCACACCTCCTCCTCCATGCTTTACGGTGGGAACTACACATGCGGAGATCATCCGTTCACCTACACTGCATCTCACAAAGACACAGCGGTTGGATCCAAAAATCTCAAATTTGGACTCCAGACCAAAGAACAGATTTCTACTGGTCTAATGTCCATTGCTCGTGTTCCTTGGCCCCCCAAGCAAGTCTCTTCTTCTTATTGGTGTCCTTTAATAGTGGTTTCTTAGTAGCAATTCGACCATGAAGGCCTGATTCACGCAGTCTCCTCTGAACAGTTGATGTTGAGATATGTCTGTTACTTAAACTGTGAGGCACTTATTTGGGCTGCAATTTCTGAGGCTGGTAACTCTAATGAACTTATCCTCTGCAGCAGACGTAACTCTTGGTCTTCCATTCCTGTGGCGGTCCTCATGAGAGTCAGTTTCATCATAGCGCTTGATGGTTTTTCGACTGCACTTGAAGAAACTTTCAAAGTTCTTCACATTTTCCGGATTGACTGACCTTCATGTCTTAAAGTAATGATGGACTGTCATTTCTCTTTGATTATTTGAGCTGTTCTTGCCATAATATGTACTTGGTCTTTTACCAAATAGGGCTATCTTCTGTATACCCCCCCCCCCCCCACCTACCTTGTCACAACACAACTGATTGGCTCAAATGCATTAAGAAGGAAAGAAATTCCACAAATCAACTTTTAACAAGGCACACCTGTTAATTGAAATGCATTCCAGGTGACTACCTCATGAATCTGGTTGAGAGAATGCCAACCGTGTGCAAAGCTGTCATCAAGGCAAAGGGTGGCTACTTTGAAGAATCTCAAATATAAAATATATTTTGATTTGTTTAACACTTTTTTGGTTATTACATGATTCCATTTGTGTTATTATTTCATAGTTTTGATGTCTTCACTATTATTCTACAATGTAAAAAAATAGTAAAAATAAAGACAAACCCTTGAATGAGTAGGTGTGTCCAAACTTTTGACTGGTACTGTATACAGTTGAAGTCGGATGTTTACATACACTTAGGTTGGAGTCATTAAAACTTGTTGTTCAACCACTCCGCAAATTTCTTGTTAACAAATTATAGTTTTGGCAAGTCAGTTAGGACATCTACTTTGTGCATGACACAAGTAATTTTTTCAACAATTGTTTACAAATTATTTCACTTATAATTCACTGTATCACAATTCCAGTGGGTCAGAAGTTTACATTTACATTTACATTTACATACACTAAGTTGACTGTGCCTTTAAACAGCTTGGGAAATTCCAGAAAATGATGTCATGGCTTTAGAAGCTTCTGATAGGCGAATTGACATCATTTGAATCAATTGGAGGTGTACCTGTGGATGTATTTCAAGGCCTACTTTCAAACTCAGTGCCTCTTTGCTTAACATCATGGGAAAATAAAAATAAATCAGCCAAGATCTCAGAAAAAATATTGTAGACCTCCACAAGTCTGGTTCATCCTTGGGAGCAATTTCCAAACGCCTGAAGGTACCACGTTCATCTGTACAAACAATAGTACGCAAGTATAAACACCATGTGACCACACAGCCATCATACCGCTCAGGAAGGAGACGCATTCTGTCTCCTAGAGATGAACGTATTTTTGTGTGAAATGTGCAAATCAATCCCAGAACAACAGCAAAGGACCTTGTGAAGATGCTGGAAAAAACAGGTACAAAAGTATCTATATCCACAGTAAAACAAGTCCTATATCGACCTAACCCGATAGGCCGCTCAGCAAGGAAGAAGCCACTGCTCCAAAAACACCATAAAAAAGCCAGACTACGGTTTGCAACTGCACATGGGGACAAAGATCGTACTTTTTGGAGAAATGTCCTCTGGTCTGATGAAACAAAAATACAACTGTTTTGGCCATAATGACCATCGTTATGTTTGGAGGAAAAAGGGGGCTGCTTGCAAGCCAAAGAACACCCTCCCAACCGTGAAGCATGGGGTGGCAGCATCATGCTGTGGGGGTGCTTTGCTGCAGGAGGGACTGGTGCACTTCACAAAATAGATGGCATCATGAGGAAGGAAAATTATGTGGATATATTGAAGCAACATCTCAAGACATCAGTCAGGAAGTTAAAGCTTGGTCGCAAATGGGTCTTCCAAATGGACAATGACCCCAAGCATACTTCCAAAGTTGTGACAAAATGGCTTAAGGACAACAAAGTCAAGGTATTGTACTGGCCATCACAAAGCCCTGACCTCAATCCTATAGAACATTTGTGGGCAGAACTGAAAAAGCGTGTGCGAGCAAGGAGGCCTACAAACCTGACTCAGTTACATCAGCTCTGTCAGGAGGAATGGGCCAATATTCACCCAACTTATTGTGGGAAGCTTGTGAAAGCTACCCGAAACGTTTGACCCAAGTTAAACAATTTAAAGGCAATGCTACCAAATACTAATTGAGTGTATGTAAAATTCTGACCCACTGGGAATATGATGAAAGAAATAAAAGCTGAAATAAATCATTCTCTCTACTATTATTCTGACATTTCACATTCTTAAACTAAAGTGGTGATCCTAACTGACCTAAGACAGGGAATTTTTACTAGGATTAAATGTCAGGAATTGTGAAAAACTGAGTTTAAATGTATTTGGCTAGGGTGTATGTAAATTTCCGACTTCAACTGTGTAAGCCTAGATGTAAATCATTGGTCCTGTACTGTCAAATCTAAAATTGCAATGCTGAGAAAAAAAGTGGGCAAATAATTGTATATATTAAATATTATATTTAAAGGGGCAATCTGCATTTGCTACATACATTTTTGGACTAATGAATTAATGATATAAATAAAAAATAAAAAATACAATTTTATTTGTCACATACACGTGTTTAGCAGATCTTATTGTAGGTGTAGCAAAATGCTTGTGCTTCAAGCTCCGACAGTAATGTCTAACAAGTAATGTCTAACAATTTCACAACATATACCCAATACACACAAATCTAAGTAAGGAATGGAATTTAAGAATATATATATATATGGACAAGCAATGACAGAGCGGCATGGACTATGATACAGTAGACTATATATACATTGATTCTTGAAGGATATAACTTATGCCTCATGAGCTTAGTTCAACTGTCACACCCTATCAAAACCCAAAATATAAGCTTGTTTTACTCCAATGTTTGTAAACAATGTAAATATAAAGAAAAACTGCATCCTCAAAACTTGGTAAAAAATAAAATGTTAACATCATGGATGGTCAGTCCGTTTATCGTTATATTAATTAATGTGAGAGTGGTTACATTTTTCCAGGCCCATCCCTCAGCTTTTTACCATACCATAACAGAGGCGGGGTGGCTACTTAGTTATTGTTTCAACTACAGATCAGCCCTTTAAATTATTGGAGTTTTATGTGCGGTAATGAGTATAAAATCCCACATGCATTCATTTCATTCTTTGATGACATGAGAATTAGGTTTTGAAGGTGAATAATAGCCTATTAGGCCTAATAACTAAATCAAAGCATTCACGACCCTAATGTAGGGCGGCAGGTAGCTTAGTGGTTAAGAGCGTTGTGCCAGTAACCGAAAGGTCGCTGGTTCTAATCCCCGAACCGACTAGGTGAAAAATCTGTCGATGTGCCCTTGAGCAAGGCACTTAACCCTAATTGCTCCTGTAAGTCGCTCTGGATAAAAGCGTCTGCTAAATGACTAATTATTATTATTATAATGCATTTTACCTAAAGTCATATCTTATAAAAATAATTCATGACAGCTGTAATGGAAACAGGAAGTTTCGGTAGGATACAATTTTATAAATTCCAACAGATAATTTTTTCATTGGACATGGTGGGATCTTTTTGTGTAGGTAAAATTAGTTACCAGAGAAATGGCGGTGGAAACGCCTTTATGAACAAATATTGATTTGATATAATAATTATCACATGAAAGTACATTTGGATGTGGCGCGCGCGCGCAGGGAGGCCCCGAGTGTTCCCCAATGCTGGATGAACATTTTGGGATTCCCTGGTGTAGAGAATCATTGTACCATCTAAACCAGGGGTGTCAAACTCATTCCATGGAGGGCCTAGTGTCTGCAGGTATTTGTTTTTTCCTTTCAATTAAGACATAGACAACCAGGTGAGAGGAGTTTTATACTAATTACTGACCTTAATTAATCAATCAAGTACAAGGGTGGAGCGAAAGCCCGCAGACACTCGGCCCTCCGTGGAATTAGTTTAACACGTGATCTAAACTGCTGTGAAATATATTTTCCATAACCAAAAACATTGTAGCCTAAAAGATGCACACACAAATCTTAAAACCGGGAGCCATAGCGCACATAAAACAGTTCTACCGCTTCTTAGTATGAAAAAGTATGAAAATGTATGCATTCACTACTGTAAATCGCTCTGGATAAGAGCGTCTGCTAAATTACTAAAATGTAAAATGTCTTAGCCTTGTTTTCAATGAGAATGACAGTAACATGTGACATATTGCAGCTTTAAGCGAAAAGGTACATTTTGTATGCACTACATCCTCAGGCACTGACTTTTATCTGGTGGGAAAATTGGCATATATTCGCATGAAAATCTGTATACAATTGGGTGGAAACCTAGCTAATGACATCCTTAACGAGGCTCATCTCACATTGGTGACTGCAGATCAAGGCTGAGAAGTGTGCTTAACCTTTCTCAAAGTCAATGAAAACGGTAGGTAAACACTAGGAGACCACGCCTATCCTTTATCAGTATGCTATAATTTAGTTGCCAATCTGCAGAGGTCATACCACCAGAACTTGTGTGAAACTCCTTGGGCCAGAGCTATATGTGAGTATCCCAGTCTTTAGCCATATGAAACATTTTATTTCAGTCTTGGTATAGGAAAGCCATTTAGAAAAGGTAGGCTATATGGAAAATCAGGAGTAGGATTTTTGGATTTGCATTATTATGTTATTCACGTTCCAAATTTTTTTGGCAGGTTGTTGCATGTTTTTCTCCTTTAACGTGACCATGAGGACAACTGAGAAAGGTCTGTTTTGCCACCTCTACATGTTACTGCTTTTTGTGTAAGTATGGCTACAGGTATTTAAAATAAGTTCCCATTAATTCCAGAATATATACTTTAGGGGTTTACATTGTCCACTCTAAATTGAACCTACCATTTCTTCCTTTAGTTTTTAAAAAAGTTTATGAAAAGTGAGCAAAATGTTGTGAGTCAGTTCATGTTTTTGTGGTATACCATACATATGGCTTTGGTGCAATGACTTGTAATTCACAGGGATACATAGATATTTAAGAAAAAGTAAGCATAGTATATATATATATATATATATATATATATATATATATATATATATATATTAGTATTTTAAATCAAGGTTTCTTTATTTGGCTTTTCAATATTTTACAGACGCTCATGCCCCCCCCAATCCCATGCTCCATTGACTGATTATTTTCTCCCATCTGTGTATGATATCTGTTGAAACAGCATGGTACCTGAGTAAAGCCTCTCGTCAACATTTCAGTCTCTATTATCTAGCTGATGACCTTTGATAAATGGTACGACATTAATTGCAGAACAAGGTGACTTTGGTAAAGTGAATACACTGCTTAGGGAAGTGCAAGGTGGCACCAATATCTTTTTTTACTGTGAGTTTATACACCATTCATAACCCTCAAACACCAATATTTAGATGACAAACAAATGATGAGTCAATCCTTTGTTGTATGATTTACTTTTAGAGGTTTTTGCCAAGGAAAGGACCTCTTCTTCAATGACTATAAAGGACTCCTACTCCCAGAATCCTACAAGATTGGCTGGATGGAGGACATTGATGACAACAAGTTAATCTCTGACATCACCATCCCTGGTACCCATGACACCATGGCTCTCTATGGAGGCCCAGCGGCAGAGTGTCAGGCCTGGGATTTGGGGGATCAGCTGAGGGCCGGCATACGCTATCTGGACCTCAGGATATTTGCCTTTGAAAACAAACTCTATATCATGCACTGGGTTGTCTACCAACACACGTCGTTCAATGATGTCCTTGACACGATCAGAGCATTTCTGTCCGAATTCAGAAGTGAGGCGGTTCTCATTAGAGTAAAGCCTGATTTGTTTGATAAAGAGAATGTTGAGGAGCTGGTTGGAAAAATGATTAGTGATGATAAAGATGTATGGGTGAAGTCTGACATGCCAACTATGGCTGAGGCAAGAGGAAAGGTGATATTTGTACAGAAATCCAGCTTTAAGCTGGGCATTCCTCTCTTGGAAACCGACAGCAAGGGTGACTATGAAGTTACTCATATTGCAGACAAGGAGAACAAAATTGTGAAACACTTGACACAAGCTTCAGGCGATTGTGGTGGTGATTATCTAGTTCTTAGCTACTCCAGTGGCACTGGCATTGGCACACTGTTGGGCATGTTTCTAACTCCCAAGAAGGTGGCTGAAAAGATTAACCCCTGGCTCGATCAGTATCTGAGACAGTTCTCCAGTGACCACACCAGGGCATGTTTCGGGGTGATTGCCATGGACTTTCCTGGTATCGACCTCATTCAAACAGTCATTAAGCTCAATGATTGGTGAAGTGTTCACCCATGGAAGTCATAATTATATTGCTTTCTGAAATAAATGTTAGTTGACAGCATTAGATTAAGTCAAGCAGCAACACATGACATATACTATACTTGATTGTGCTTATATTGAAAAGGAGCGAGATAGAAAAATATGACCAAGTAAAGACTTTAGTGATTGTAACGTGGTATTGGCATGTTACAATCAACAATAATGAAGACTTGGCACTGTAACGTCTTTGTACTTTTCCCCTGCTTGCTGTATTAAAAACAAAGAAAATCATTAAAATGGCAAAGAACAACTGTGGAGTCCTTGCTTTGTATGTGTGGTGGGGGGGTTCTTCAGTTTGTCAGGAAATGACAGGAATCCATTATATGTTTATTATTCAGTGAGGGAAGGGTTAACCTCTCAGGTCCTCTTTAAACTGAGAAGGAGGTACTGCTGGGATCTAGCTGAAACTGGCTGAGCCCTCCCTACCAGCTACTTCCTTGTAAGGAAACCAAACTGCGCAACAAGCAGACTGGTCTGCCACTGTGATTACACAGGACCTGTAGAGGGGTCCATCTCAATTGCCAGGAACGGGTGAGCTCACCTTCTGTAAAATATGTGTTTGTTGTTGAAGAATACGTTTTGAGTGAATTTAAATGGGTGTGTAGTTGTTTCATGCTCTCAAAAAGAAATGATGTAATCAAATGTAATTACAAAATAGTAAATAAATAGATTATATGGAACAATTCATACTGCAAATTGAAGTTCAACAGTTATAAAATCTATGCAAACATTTGTCATGGTTTGTTTACATTCTCTCGTGAGTCAGGGGGAGGGATTTGAGTGTTTTTCGGGAACACCCAATGGTTGAGTTCGTTTTGCATGGCTGGGTGCCCCTGGTGGGCAGACTTTGCTTATTTTCGACTATTCCATTGGTCCTTAAGTGAAATCTCCACTCACCCGGGGCACCGGGCCACGCAAAACAAACTCCACCACTGACAGAGGGATGTGTAACTCCTGGATAGTACTTTATTTCACAGTACTGTTTAAGCTCCTTTACTAGGACATTATATGGTATGGGTACTTTCTGCTGCTAACTAAAAATAATGAAACACTATTTGTAAATACATGTAGCCTACTTGGTACAAAATGGGTGGAGAGCTTTCTAATGCAAAATGGCTGCCATTGATGGCATCACCCAGGTGAGTGCTACACATTGTAAGTGGATGATGTGAGTTTCCCCCATATATATCTAAGTAAACAATCGGTAGCCTAAATTCTTTACCCTAAGGTGCTGCTGTACTGAATTAATTGAATGCATAAGTTAATTGAGCAACATGGTCATACAATTGCTGTTTCAAGTCATTTCCCAGAAGAGGGGGTTTTATGTTGTGCACTTCCTGCTCAGATGTAGCAGAGGCTCTACACCCACTCATCACCACACTATCTCCTATCAGCTTTCAATGAGGCAAGAGATTACCACAATGAGGGATGGAACCTGTTTGTCACTATAACCCAATAAACACAGTAGCAGTGACAGTAAGAGTGCCCTTATTTAGGGCAGGTTCAGAGTGTGCTGTACAATGCAATACATCCTCTAACGAAATGCATAGGTGGTCCTTTAAAAAAGTTGTATCCTACAGATACAACACAGACATGATCAGATGTTATTGGGATGAATGTGCACCTTTTAACATCATGACTCATAAGGCAACACAGTTCTTTTAACATGAAGATTATTGTTCTGCCTTCTCTTTTATCTTAGAGCTGTGTAACCAAGAGTGACCAGCATGTCAGTGACTGTGACCAAAGGCGAAGGGGTGACTGTGTTCACCGTGAACTCTAAAGAAGGAAGCAGTTGGCCCCTGCTGTGTCAAATACTTGGGACCCTGTGCTACAGCCCAGCATGCTCTGTGTCCCAGGGATTGAGGAGGCTCCAAGCAAGTTCCCAGTCAGCTCTGGGGGTGGGTGAACTAAAATAACACACAGACCAGATGTGCGCACACACACCACAACATACATGTCTATCATCAGTATTGTCTATCATCACTGGGTCACAATTGTCATCGGAAGTGAGAGAGATTTATCGAAAATTATTATTTTCTTATTTCACAGACTATACAGATCATGGTGGGAGTACTCAACATTGGCTTGGGAGCGATCCTTGTTAGCACTGATTATTCTGGCCTACTGCGATGGAATGGGACCCCTTATTGGCTTGGTGGTGTGGTAAGCTTACTTTATTTTGTTATCTTTTACCATGTTATCATGTTTAGTATGAAAGCACATGATTTCACTTGGAGTTATAACCACAATAAACAAAGGAAACATATAAGTCACTTTATTTATTTTTTAATTTCGGCCTTCCTACCCACACTTAAGTAGTCTTTTTTATCAAATGAAAGGTTAAAGTCAAATGTCTGTGTATTTTCTTGCGAAATGTTTGTTAATTATCAGGACAAATAATGTGTCGGTTGTGTGTATTTGATTTTGATATTTGTGTGCCCTCTCCTTAGTTTATAGCAGTTGGCATCATGTGTATCTTGGCTGAGAAGTTCCCCAGTCCCTGCTTGGTGAGTTGTTCACTGATGCACATACCTTAACTGTTTCCTGTCATTCCTTAGCCTCATTCCCTTCCTCCATTGAACAATCATTCAATCTGATCCAGTTGAATTATAATCATCAACTGAATATCTGAGACAACTGGTACTCAGTGGTTTACTCAATTGAGTCAAACTGGTTTTGTATTCCCTGATTGTGTTTTAGGTGGGCATCAATGTGTTAATGAACCTGTCAGGTGCTGCTCTGGCCATTACTGGGATTGTGCTGTATTCTGTAGACCTAGCAAACAACCATTTCTGGTGGATTTGCAATGAGGACAACTACAACTGGCGAGAGGAATACTATAGCGGCCAGGTGACAAAACCACCCAATGATCAGCAGAGGGATAGACTCTTGGAGAAATGCAAAGATGCCAAGCAGATTGCACAGGTGAGTGCTTTTGAATTAAGTTTTTTGATTAGATGGTTAGATGGATCAAACTGCTTAATTTAGTAATGAACATGTGTGTCCTTAAACAGCGCTAGTGGGTACCATGTTTAAAAGCACACTCTAATAGCTGGGATGCCAGTCTTTCTGTATTTTCCAGTGTTCACCAACACAGCTATCTTGCTAAACAATCCAGTCAACTGTCAATATGTTCAAATCCTCCTCCATGTGTTTCCGTTCTACCATTAGATGTTGATGAATGCCTTGGACATCGTGCTCATCGTCCTTGCAGTCCTTCAGCTTTGTGTTACCATCAGCTCTGCTGTCTTGGGTCTCAAGGCTTTGCACAAGAATGGAAAGGAGGGAAAACAGGTATGAACAGAGAACCCTTGAACAGAGCGAATAAAACGGCCATACAAATGGAAGTAGAATACGGATTTGTAGATACACACACACACACACACACAACCAAGGTAATGTTTGTTGTGTCCTGCCAAGTAATGTGTAACTTTGCACTGATATGTTGCAGAACATCCAGGACCTGGAGCAGTACAAGCCTCTGCTGGAGGAGGTCACCACTAACCCTGCAGCTTAAAGACAGCACTGATCTGATATACTTTATTGTCTCAGAGGGGAAATTTGTCATGGACGATTAAAGAGTGCTGCTGCTTCCACATGGAATACATAAATACATAGAATCAAATGTATTCAACATACATAGAATAACATCATCATCATACACCCCCGCCACACCCACAAATGTTTTTTTTATATACACACAGTATGTAGTACATGTAGTTTACTTACTTCCTTAATTTACTGTAAAGCCTACTGTGACTTGCTTTGTTTAAATGATAACTGACACTGATTGTATGTCTTCATGCAGTTTTAGTCATGTTTTTTGTATTTGTCATTTTTTAAAAACTGGACAGTTATAAAGGGGAATATATCAAGTTAATTACTGAATTGACTGTTGTATATGATTTTTTTTGTTGGAGTATTTCAATATTTCCTTACCTTATCTTTTATTCTGTTCCCCCCAAAAAATAAACAAACTGTCTTAGCTCATCAGTTTCAAAATAGTTTTACTTAACTTTGCCATCAGGTGGCAGTCATTCCCCTACAAACCTACACCATTGGTTGCTCATGTTTAAAATAAAGGGAAACACCAACATCAAGTGTCTTAAGGTCTAAGCCCCTAGGTTGCAATATCTACTAAGCTAACACATGGAATTGTTTTAAGATGGTCATAAAATTGATAATTTAGCCATTTGATTTGGAATTTTAGGACCCCTGTAGGGATATAAAATATATATATATATTTGATGAAACATTGAATTTGGCCTTTACTGCTATAACCCATAGAAACACATTTGTAAATGGCAAAACAGACAGTCCAAAAATAAATCATAAGGAATACGTTTTTGAAGTGTCTGTCCTATACACTGGCATAACACAGTTTCTCTGGACCCCCGCAAGGTTGGAGTGGACCCCCCACTGCCTAAAATAAAGAAACATAGAATGCGTCAGCCAGAGAGCCACTCAAAGTTTAGACTACCATCCACTGTCCATGGTTCTGAAATTGGGACATATCTATGCGGCTGCCTTTCGAATCGATGATAGGCTTTCTGTGGTGCCAGGGCATGTAGCCTATAGCTTTGCTTTAGCTAATGGATAAATGTTTATTGGTAGGCCTATTTGGTCGTCATGTTCTCATGTTAAGCTTAACATTTCACGAAGCTATACACGGTGTCGCAAGGCTGCCATGATTTAGACTTCTGGCTCGTGGCAATAATGTAACTACTTGTTCAGTAATTCAAGTTGGAAATTCAAACATTGCAGATTGTAAAATGTATTTTCGATACAACAGAATACCAATTTATTAAAAAAACATACAAATGTCCTGTATAGCCTACTTGAACCTGCATGACATGAGCCTTCCTCGTGCTCTCTCCCAGCTTGGATAGAAAGTTGTTGTGTGTAAAACCAGTCTATTAATGCCAAATAATACAGTCAGTCCACCCTCAAAACACTAGCTTACAATGGATTGTTTCATTATGCAGTGTAGCCTACTATCTATAGCTACAGTGCATTCAGAAAGTGTTCCGACCCCTTCCCTTTTTCCACATTTTGTTTCATTACAGCCTTATTCTAAATCGGATTAAATGCAATATTTTCTTCATCAATCTACACACAGTACCACATAATGACAAAGCGAAAACAGTTTTAGAATTGTTTGCACATAAAAACAAAACAAAAAACAGATACCTTATTTACATAAGTATTCAGAACCTTTGCTATGAGACTCGAAATTGAGCTCAGGTGTATCCTGTTTCCATTGATCATCCTTGAGAGGTTTCTACAACTTGATTGATTGGACATAATTTGGAAAGGCACACACTGTCTATATAAGGTCCCACAGTTGACAGTGAATGTCAGAGCAAAAACCAAGCCATGAGGTCGAAGGAATTGTCCGTAGAGCTCTGAGACAGAATTGTGTCAAGGCACAGATCTGGGGAAGGGTACCAAAAAATGTCTGCAGCATTGAAGGTCCCGAGAACAAAGTGGCCTCCATCATTCTTCAATGGAAGAAGTTTGGAACCACCAAGACTCTTCCTAGAGCTGGCCGCCCGGCCAAACTGAGCAATCGGGGGAGAAGGGCCTTGGTCAGGGAGGTGACCAAGAACCCGATGGTCACTCTGACAGAACTCCAGAGTTCCTCTGTGGAGATGGGAGAACCTCCCAGAAGGACAACCATCTCTGCAGCACTCCACCAATCAGGCCTTTATGGTAGAATGGCCAGACGGAAGCCACTCCTTAGTAAAAGGCACATGAAGGCCCGCTTGGAGTCTGCCAAAAGGCACCTAAAGGACTGTCAGACCATGAGAAACAAGATTATCTGGTCTGATGAACGGTTTACCTTCCAACAGGACAACGACCCTAATCACACAGCCAAGACACGTCTCTGAATGGTCTTGGGTGGCCCAGCCAGAGCCTGAACTTGAACCCGATAGAACATCTCTGGTGAGATCTGAAGATAGCTGTGCAGCAACGCTCCCCATCCAAACAGATAGAGCTTGAGAGGATCTGCAGAGAAGAATGGGAGAAATTCCCCAAATACAGGTGTGCCAAGCTTGTAGCGTCACACCCAAGAAGACTCGAGGCTGCGAAAGGTGCTTCAACAAAGTACTGAGTAAAGGGTATGAATTCTTATGTAAATGTAATATTTCCGTTTTATTTCTTATACATTTGCTAAAATGTCTAAAGCTGTTTTTGCTTTGTCATTATGGGGTGTTGTGTGTAGATTGGGGGGGGCGGGAAAAACAATTTGCTCAATTTTAGAGTAAGGCTGTAACGTAACAAAATGTGGAAAAAGTCAAGGGGTCTGAATACTTTCCGACTGCACTGTAGCTGTAAGTGATATTTCACATTTCCACAGTATATTTTTTTAGGGCAGTTGAATTGTGGGTACATACCACAATGTTGTAATTTTAATCAGACAGATTCCCATTCTGTTTGATTTTAATAAATACTTTAGGATCAGAAGGAGCAAGCTGCAAAGCGACAGTCACCTGCTCCTGCCACTAGCCTTGCCCCTGTCCAATGGATAGAGGGACAGCAGAGGCAACATAATTCACCAAAGACCTGGACGAAAAAGGTCTAAGAAGGCCTCGAGACAAGGTAAGTGTTATGTACCTATTTCGTCGTTTGTTTACGAATGTAAAGTGTAACTATTTTTTCTAAATAGGTACCATATGCCAGTCCTGGCTGCCTCATGTTCATTGTATATTATTGTCATCAAAAGTCACGGCGGAGGACTTGGACCTTACCGGAACAGGTGACCATATTGCAGCTAATGGCAGGGGTGAGTATCGCCCTAAATAGAGCTTTACCTTGGGGCATGACCCTAAAACAAGGTTGTCCACCGGACCCCCCCCCCAGAAGTTTCACATTTTAGTTTTCATAAAACTATTTTTATTTTGAACCTGTATCTGCTTTCTCATTCTTGTTTATCTGTTTCTACATGTCTGATCTTCTGTCTGCAATCCTGGCGCAGCTTTTTATTATTTTTACTACTCATCTTGATCTAGGAAAACCTCAAGATGACTGTGTACATTAAAGTCTAATCTTTTAGTGTGATTCACTTGAAAAATTAGAACCTTCACCTATGTTATTCCTCATTTTAATTATTTTTTTCAGAACGTCAAAAGACTGAAGGAGACCAGCTTCCTTGAATAAAAGCAGGCAGAGCTGGACATCAACGACGCTGTGCTTCAGGAGTGGGCTGCTGAGGTGCAGCAGTGGCCAGAAGGTATGTTAGGTTCTGAACAAAACTCTAAATGGACAACCAGAAAAAGCTCAAGTTTATTCGACCCACAAGCATATACACTGCTCAAAAAAATAAAGGGAACACTTAAACAACACAATGTAACTCCAAGTTAATCACACTTCTGTGAAATCAAACTGTCCACTTAGGAAGCAACACTGATTGACAATACGTTTCACATAATAATAATATGCCATTTAGCAGACGCTTTTATCCAAAGCGACTTACAGCATGCTGTTGTGCAAATGGAATAGACAACAGGTGGAAATTATAGGCAATTAGCAAGACACCCCCAATAAAGGACTGGTTTTGCAGGTGGTGACCACAGACCACTTCTCAGTTCCTATGCTTCCTGGCTGATGTTTTGGTCACTTTTGAATGCTGGCGGTGCTTTCACTCTAGTGGTAGCATGAGACGGAGTCTACAACCCACACAAGTGGCTCAGGTAGTGCAGCTCATCCAGGATGGCACATCAATGCGAGCTGTGGCAAGAAGGTTTGCTGTGTCTGTCAGCGTAGTGTCCAGAGCATGGAGGCGCTACCAGGAGACAAGCCAGTACATCAGGAGACGTGGAGGAGGCCGTAGGAGGAGCAGGACTGCTACCTCCGCCTTTGTGCAAGGAGGAGCAGGAGGAGCACTGCCAGAGCCCTGCAAAATGACCTCCAGCAGGCCACAAATGTGCACGTGTCTGCTCAAAGGAGGAGCACATGTGACAGACGTGACAGAGTCTGGAGACGCCGTGGAGAACGTTCTGCTGCCTGCAACATCCTCCAGCATGACCGGTTTGGCGGTGGGTCAGTCATGGTGTGGGGTGGCATTTCTTTGGGGGGCCACACAGCCCTCCATGTGCTTGCCAGAGGTAGCCTGACTGCCATTAGGTACCGAGATGAGATCCTCAGACACCTTGTGAGTCCATATGCTGGTGCGGTTGGCGCTGGGTTCCTCCTAATGCAAGACAATGCTAGACCTCATGTGGCTGGAGTGTGTCAGCAGTTCCTGCAAGAGGAAGGCATTGATGCTATGGACTGGCCCGCCTGTTCCCCAGACCTGAATCCAATTGAGCACATCTGGGACATCATGTCTCGCTCCATCCACCAACGCCACGTTGCACCACAGACTGTCCAGGAGTTGGCGGATGCTTTAGTCCAGGTCTGGGAGGAGATCCCGCAGGAGACCATCCGCCACCTCATCAGGAGCATGCCCAGGCGTTGTAGGGAGGTCATACAGGCACGTGGAGGCCACACACTACTGAGCCTCATTTTGACTTGTTTTAAGGACATTACATCAAAGTTGGATCAGCCTGTAGTGTGGTTTTCCACTTTAATTTTGAGGGTGACTCCAAATCCAGACCTCCATGGGTTGATATATTTGATTTCCATTGATAATTTGTGTGATTTTGTTGTCAGCACATTCAACTATGTAAAGAAAAAAATATTTAATAAGATTATTTCATTCATTCAGATCTAGGATGTGTTAATTTAGTGTTCCCTTAATTTTTTTGAGCAGTGTATTTATACCTTCCGACTAAGTGGCGTCACCGCCTTGCATGTCTAAGGTAAACAATCCTCTGTTAGGCAGAAACACAGTATGTTCCTCTCACTGGTATTGTCATGGCCTGCTTAAGTCTAGGACCCTCATGGGCGTGGAAGTATGGGATTGGACTGTAGTCAGACTGAGGTTGTGGACAGGTGTCTTTTATACTGATAACAAGTTCAAACAGGTGCCATTAATACAGGTAACGAGTGGAGGACAGAGGAGCCTCTTAAAGAAGTTACAGGTCTGTGAGAGCCAGAAATCTTGCTTGTTTGTAGGTGACCAAATACTTATTTTCCACCATAATTTGCAAATAAATTCATAAAAAATCCTACAATGTGATTTCCTGGAGAGAAAAAAATCTCAATTTGTCTGTCATAGTTGACGTGTA